CCCAAAATCTCGGCGAAAAAGAAAATGTCTAACCGCTCTCTTTGCGACCACGTGGGTGGTCTCTCCGTTTTTCACTCTCTCGTTTCCTTTTTTGTCTATTCGCTCTCACGAAAAGAAAGCGCTTTTCTATTTCATGAGTATGGAGGACGAAATGCCACACGCGTTTTCGGTTCTATATTTTGACGTGCGCCTTATTTTATGTTTTAACCTTTAGAAGGTAAACAATTGTAAAATTGTAGTCACTGTAAATGTGTAGAAAGTTGTGCTTCCAAGACATCAAAGCTTAAATTTATAGTCTGATTCCTAGTGTCCGCTCAAATGATGCACTAAGTATGAGAGTATGTTGCTAAATCTAATATCTTTAGAATTTAAATTTTGATCAAATGTCTAATATGTGCTAGAGCCATTTTTGAATTTTTTGCCAACTTTATACTACAAAGTAGCCTCTAGCAAACAGGATTGAGGTACTACTGTTTTACAGGTTGTTCAGAAAAAAAGCAGTCATTACAAATACTGTTACTAGACGCCGGCTTCGTTTTCTCAAAATTTAGCTTTGACTTTCACATCAGCACCGGAGCTTTAGTCGCTCGAGAATTCTTAATACCAAAATTTGGCATTTTTTGATTTGTTCCGGCTCTAATTTTTCTTCCGCCGTTTTATGATTTCTTCTTCCAGATCCGGCTCAAATTCCGTTGATAGAGCTGTCCGTGGAACAGAAGCCAAAGCCGACTTTAGATCTCTTGAGAACTCTGGTGCCAAAACTACTAGTGTCTCGGATATATACATACTTAGTCTATCTTTTGATGAATTTAACACATTATCTAGATGGGCATGGCATTGGACAACTTCCTATTTGGATTTATGTTGACAAAGGTTTACTTTGTGAAACAGTACGTTTTGAACACCAAATTGTCACAAAATTTCATTTTTACATAGTAATAGTTACCGGAGTTTCCAGAACTGATTAACTCATAACGGAAATGTACACAATCGACCAAAAAAAGATGGGGTTGCGTGATACCACGTGTTTTTTTAAAAATTTTTTGCTGTAAAATTACTTTTACAACTTTTATAATCAAGTTGGTTAATTAAGTTGGGAATATGCACAACTACGTAACATATTTACAAATTAACCTTTTTGTACAACTTTTAGAATTTTTAATTTAATTTTTTGAAAAATTAAATTTTGGCACATGACTGTGCTTACCGTATACTGAAGCGGGTGACAAAAGATAGTACACGTCAAACCGAGAGGTGAAATAGAACCAACGTTGCGTTTCGTCTAACAAAACGGCGCGTAGTGTCACATTTTAAAAAATTGATTGCTTTTTTAATTTTATTATTTTCAATCGATATTTGAAGCGCAGCGATTTCTGTTTCTGCGTTGACGAAACGCCACAACCGCTTTATTTCACAAATTTGTTTTATTTCGGTTTGACGTGTAGTATGCAGTCGCATTTTAGTTTAGTTTTCTCTTGTTATAAGCAACACAAACAAAGGTTTATTTTGTGTTACTTTGTTGATAGTATCTGGTATGAAAATTTTTATTGGATTGCCTGATACGTATGTTTACTAGAGCATAGTTTAAATATTTCTTTCACGTACAACCATGTGCATATGCTACAAAACATACAAGACAAAAAATACAATTTATAAACTATAATTTAAAAATTTGTAAAAACAGCCTATTACAACACAAACATTTTAACAATAACACAATAAAACCAACTGTTTAAAATTTGAAACTTACCTAGCTTTTTGTCGTTTTTATGTATTACTAAGGATTTTAAGCTTATACAAATCAGTTACAGTACAAAGCTTGAGATTTTCAGTTACAGTACAAAACCTAATACTATAAGTTACAGTACAAAGCATCATTTTTTAATGAGTAATACATTCCCAATTATTAAAACATGTGGCTTGAAAAAACTTTTTTATAGTTAATTAAGAAAATGCATACCTAATTTTAGTAACGGTAATTAAAACGCATGTGATTATGGGTAATCACTGGTAAGAGAAAAATCTTGAATTAGTCGCGAAACAATGAATTTTTTTTGAATTGACAGCTTTTGTCTTTTTTATGATTTTGAAGAAGAAAGCCTTGCTATATTTAGTATAGAATGTTAGTCAACAAGCAGTACTAACATTTTGTAAGAACATAGCTTAAGCAGACAATATTAAGCGAAATAGACGCCAGAAGAAGGTGAAAGAACGATAACTGGAGCGAATATTATGATAGTTTTTAGAAGATCTCTTTAGCTGCTGAAGAAAACATAGAAGCTGTATAAGACAGAATAAGGTAGTGTAAGGTAGCAAAGATAAAGAATGTCAAAGTAGAAAAATCTGGATAATCACCAATAAGAGAAGGCTGAAAGAACTAGTTGTCAATACATTATAGAATAAGGTACTGCTGGAAAAGACAAACGGAGAAAACCGTTTGGCAGACCTTATACAAGATATGAAAATGTATATCAAAAAGTAAATAAGCATTTTTTCCAAAAAACTAAAAAAAATTTGGTAAATCAGATTAACCAGGTTCGAATTTCAAAACCCGAAAACCTTTAATAGTTCAACTACTCACTAGTCATGCCATTTTCAACACGACCAAAAACTATAATTAATTTTAAAATACAAAAAGATACGTTTGTTTTGGTGCCTACAGAGTTAATTTAACCTTGTGAAACGGTTGGGATTCCGAAAATACAGTACGTGAGAGCGTTCGTACTTCGTCATTGTCGTAATTCGGGGTTTGGTAATAGTTATCTTGTGTGAATGTTAAATATGGCTCACGTACAACAATTATTGAGTAAACGCGTCAGGAATTCGTATTACTTTTGTAAGGGACGGTGTAGCTTGTGTCTCGTTTTGTACGGCTATTTTAAGGTTTTTTGCATGCTTTATAGGATTTTTTATTATAAATTAAGTTTACGTTAGGCCTAGTTTTCAAAAAAAACTTTCACGTAGAATTAAATTTTTGAAACATTAATTTTTTAATTTGTAAGAGTAGCTTGTCTGGAAAGTTAGTGAGGATGATTGGGTAATTTCCTTGTAAATTTAAACCCACTTTAATAAAAAGTTATTTTAGTCTTTTGACGATGTTTTTCTTTTGTGATAAAACTTTGCGCATTAGAAAACAAATTTGGTCTAGAATTTCAAATTTACGAGTCATCGATACAGCATACAAATTTTATTTTTTGTCATTTTACCGTCACTTTCTAAGAATTTGCTTTTATTATGGATAACAATAAGTACCACCTTTATTAAAAATTTTATTTTATTACTGTAACGTTAAATATTTTTTTGTTTTTTTATTTAGTAGTATTTCCATAGCTCTATCAAGTCCTCAAGCAGATTTTGATCATATCTTTTAGTAAGTTTTATAGACGTTATTACTTTTTTTTAAAAGAATTTTTATATTACTTATAATATTTTTTACCATGCTTTATTTATTTATCATTATATATTTTTTATTTTTTAGTAATGAAGTTAACAAGCAAATCAGTGTATTGAATGAAGTCAAAGAAGGCTGCAAATCCCGTCAAATTGAGGTTTAGAACCACTTTTGTTTTGGACGATGGCTAGAACGTTAATCAGATCTTGGAAAGTCAGTAATTATTATACCTCGAAAACATATGGAATTTTAAAAGGCCCTCAAAAATAGTGTCAGTTATCTTGATTTCAATAAATATCTTTAATTAGTTATAAAATTATTTTTCTATTAAAAGTATTTTAGGCTTACAAGTTTTAGAAGAACTTTTTGTTTATCTTACTGTACACTTTCTGTATTTTTCTTGTACAACATGTTCATACATCAAGTAGTTTGTAGTCACCAACCGTTTGGCTCCGCCCACAATTATCATTTACGTTATGTGGTATCTTGTGTTATATATATCTCCACTGTGTGCCATTTTTGTATATTTTGCTTGGTAGTAAGTAGAAATTTAGAAACATGGGTATAATGATACTTTTGGAGCTTTTTGGCTTTGGTTTACTATCGTATGTTTGGTTATTTTATTATTTTTCTTATTCTTCATTGTTTTCTTTTTGGTTTCTTAATTTAATGTTTTTGTCTCTCCTAATTCGTTATTATCTTCTCCTTCTCATTCGAATGTCCACCCCTACGGCTACTAAAGCACTGAAAAGAAGGCGTGTCCTCTACTTCAAATTATATACATTGCTAGAACATGTAATGCAGCCAGAAAACATATTGTTTGTATTGGCCATGTTTAATCTGTTTACTCCGCCCTACCGTATCTGCATGTCGGGTTCAGTTTTCTTTACAAAGTGTTAATGAGTAAGGGCGGATGTTGCGGTGACAAAAAGGGGCGGCGCTTCGGATTTTAACTTTGAATTTGTTGTTTGAAAGAAAGAAAGTTATTAATAAACTGATTGTTGGACGGTTTATGGGTTTGTTTGGTTGCTTGAGGCTGCGTTGGGGTTGGTATGTATTATTTTTGAGGCGGTGTTGGGGCTGTTAGTATGCTTGAGGTTGTCTTGAAATTTATATTATTCTTGAGAGAATGTACGGGTTAAAATTATGATTCAGTTTTCTCTTGGAGATAGATGTATTACGTTTAAGACTGTGGGGGTGAAAGTTAACTTTGTATTATTAAATTTAATTTTAATAGCATTTTTTTGATTTTAAAAGTTATTAAATTTATTTAGAATACTTGTTCATTAAGTTTTAAAGTTTGTAGGAGTTAAATTAAATTTTCTTTATTTCAAAATTTATTTTAATCGTTTTAAACGTTTTTGGTAACGTTTTTTTGATACTTCTACTTCATAATTTTTTGTCAAAACCTGATTTTACTTTTTTGAAATTTTGTTTTAAAGTTTTTGAAGTTTTTTTTCAAAATATTGGATTATTTTTGATACTTCGCGTATTTTAACACTTTTAAATTAAAATAAACAGTCCTTTTTAACCTTGTTTTCTATAAAACCTAACTAAAACTTGATTTTTTCAGCAAAACATGGTTATAAGTTGATCTTTGATGTAGAAAATGATCAAGAGGTTATGCTCTTACTTCATATTCTTAACCATAGCCAATGCGGCCACAGTCTACAAGCGACGGCCAAGGTTACATCGCCGTCATCTGGACCCAAGTCTTCTCAACGACGACTGGTTTGGCCGTCGACCGGACCCAGCCGACGGCCCCCGAGGCATCTACAATCTACCATGTGTAGTCGGACCAGACGAAGATGATCTGAATGTAGATTGTGGGTCGTTGCCAGCTGAAAACTCTAATTGTGTTAGTCGTATGATGGCTACGTTAAGGAAGTCGTGTACGTATCCTGGAGAAAGTGCACCGTGCTTTCGGATTTTAAACTGCAAGAAAGGAGATCCGTTGTGTAATGGGGTTGATAGCTACTATGATTATGGTGAGTTTTAAGTTTTAATGTTTTATTAGAAATATAGAAGTTTAGAAGAACAAAAAAAGTAGAAAAAAGTAATCTTCATACCTAATTCTATTACTTTCAGATGCAAAATCAATAGTTCATCCAGCTGAAATGTTTCATTTGGCATTTGAACTGTGTATCAACCACGACAATCCTTATCCTCATGCTAAGGAATTTTGTTGTGCTACCAAAGAATGTCGTCAAAAGTGCTATCCTACCAAGCTTTTTTGAAGTATCTACTTTTTATTCGACTTGCAGTGTCTACATATTAGTATTATTTTAGTACCAATAGCACTAAATAGTACTATGTTCTATAGACAACTTTAGTTTTTGGTTCTACTTTCAGAAGTTTAACACTTTTTAATACTGGTACTATTTAGTATGATAATGATAATAACTAGTACCAACTACTTCTGCTAGTTCAATTTGGACTTTACTTGTTATATCTATAACATTTTTACATATTACCATGATTTTTACTTCGTATTTACCATCGTGCCTCAATCTCAACACAAGTGTGATAACAAAAACGCCAAGTGCTATAATATCCCACTAAACTACCAAATACGACACTAATGCCAAATATTTACCAATTTACGACGTTTTCACTTTATATGTTACATTTTCTACATTGTTGAGGTTTCTTAAGACGCTTTTTTTTTATTGTACTTCTTCGCTAGTTTTTGTTATTTTTTTTCAGTGTTTTTATTAGTTTTTGTCATCCTATTCTATGCCTTCCTTACTTTTAATAACGTGAATATTAGTTTACAATACTGATAATTTTCTTACATTTTCAACAGTTTTTATGACATTTCTTTACCTTACATACACCTTCTTACTACATTCTTATATCTGAAAGTAAGGTCTACTTCAACCTTGTTAAGAGTTTTTTTTCGCCAAAAAATTGTATTTTACATTACACTTTACATTTACATTAAGACTCCCACATATTTGCATATTTTTAATCCAAACATATCATCCGCCGATCCATCTTTCACAATGTCACGTATAATTCGCCTTAACCTACGTATAACTGTCAGCTAATCTACTTTACATTGCCAAAAACAATTACAGTGCTGTTTGTAGGGCTTTTGGAGCTAGTATACACAATTTTTATATAACATCATACTATAATACAGTACTGTATACGGTGCTCTATAGTACTATCTATAGAACTGTAATACATATGTATTTTATAGTAATATGTAGAATTTACTAAAATACTATATAAAATAATATAAAGTTATACAGAATAGACTTTATAGCACTATACAGCACTATAGTACTATAAATTTTAAGAAAGTTAGTGTTAGAAATTCATAGTACTATATAGTATTTGTTGCGTCTGCAGACCAGGAAACCCAAAAATGTTTGTCATAACATATCAATAATCTCATGGGACACCATTTTGTCATTGCTCAATTACTCATCTGTGGCTTTACGATAATCATAATAAAATATAGACAATAAATTATTGACTGAATTTTTAACACTCGGCTTTATATTATCTTACATTCAAATTATTTTTTTTTAAATTTAAAAAATTTTTTGATTTTTATTTTTGACATGACGCAACAAGACATTTTTAAAAATTCAAGTTGTTTCATGTAACTAAAGCTACCACAGTTTAAAATGTTTCCTATTTGAACATACAGTATGACCTTTGAACATAAAGCACAACCAAAAATTTCCAAACCATCAAATTTAAATTTAAAAATATCTTTTATACTATTCATAATACGCTCAAAATTGTTACAACAAGATTATTTACGTATATAATGAAAGTATAACCGGTTTTCCGATTGTTTTATAAAACGTTGTAAAAGCATTATTTTTATGACATTCATCACATTACCAGACAAGTGAAGACTATTGTTTTCCGTGCAATTTTGGAATTTCAAAATTCAAAAATTTTTAATTAATACGCAAATTTAAATTTTTCTTTTTTTAATTTTATTTTTATAAAAATATTTAAAGTTTCGAGACCGTCTATACAGTCGACAAAACGACGTCAGAAAAGCGTGTGTGATAAGAAGAAACATATGTACATCTCTAATCAGTTTTTCTAGTTTGCTAACTAAGCAAATCACAATTATCATATTATGCGGAAACACAGTGATTTTTATAACCAAAAAAATGTCAAAAATGTAGTTGGATCCGCATTAGCACACCAGTCAGGTCCCGCCACGATAACGAGAAGCACTTGGCATCCCGCAACGCGTACGGTCGCCAGCACAATAAAAGGAGAGGACGGTCAATCAGAGGGACAGTTCAGGACATTCGGTGGAGTTTGGACAGTAGTTGGTCAGCGGCCGTGCAGGACAGTTAGGACGTCCGAAGGACGTCACACTTTATATCTGTGAGCTTATCGTATCGGTTTAAATTATAGTGTTGTTGATTGTTTAGTGGAGGTAAATCATATAACCTTATCTTGTGGGCTTGTATTATAGCTTTATACCTGTAGGAACGCTTTACCGATCCGAATACGTTAAAAACCTTAATTAAACGTAAGCTAAATGTAAATTATATTCTAAAAAAAAACAGTCCTGAAAGCAACATTAAAAGAACTATGCCGGGGGAACATAGCTTGAAGTTCACCAAGGTCTTGCCTATCCCAAAAATAAATTTTAAACACAATTTTGAAATAAATTATTTTATAACAGTTTTCTTTGTCAAAACGATTTGTTTCCTAAAATGTTAGTTAATATTAAAAAGTTTGCTATTTTAAGTTTGGCAAAACACATAATAAAGGCCCGCTTTACACAGCCCTAGACCAGAGCCCTAGCCCATAGCTCTAACCTTCAGCTTAAGCCCAGAGCCCTAGCCCGGAGCCCTAGCACGGAGCCCTAGCCTGGAGCCCTAGCTCGGAGCCCTAGCCCAGAGCTCTAGCAATAACTCTAGGCATAAATCTAGTTATGCCTCTTTCCTGTTCTGGAAACTCTTTGATTCGTTACCTTATCCTACAGCAAGTTAATATATTTTGTTTGTATTTTTTAATTGTTTAACCTTTCCCTCTTCTTTTCGGTACAATTACGGTTTTATGATCAAAAAACAATGTCATTTTTATTTCCTCATGTTATTTCACTCAGCCATTCACTAAACCCATCGTTCATTCGCAGATTATCAATTCAAATGTAGCTCAACATGACCCGCTAGCTGTGTATTGTTATTGTCTTTATTATAGTTATTGTTTTTTGTAGTAATGACAAGTAACTATCTAGTGTCATTCCTTGGGGATTTAAAAATAAGTGGAAATATTTAATTAATATGACGTTCCCACATGTTATTATTATGGAAACGGTTCAAGTTACAATTCTTAATTGCCTGAAGGCGTCATATAATTTATAATTTAACTACATTATGGTGCGTTGTATAGACATACGATAATGCTTGATATTGACATATAAAGAAGAATGACATAGTCATACCATGATGGATAATCAACATACGATGCTGAATAACAGACATACAATGATAAGTAATAGACTTATACCAAAGGAAGCAATACAGAGACAGTATGTGTAATGTAGACACAACTTTTACACTGTCAAGTTGACAAACGTTACTGAGTAAAACCCTCACCTACACAATCACGTTGTCAACCCTGCTGATTAGTTTTACAGCTTATTACTCAGTAATCTAACCACAGAGTGTGCAATAAATCTATGATATACTAACCTCTATTGCCATAGCATTCTACTCAGTAAAGTTGTGATATCAAATACGATAACAAAAACGTGAAATATCAATGACATTTCAAGTAAAACAGACTTAACTATGGGATTCCACTACTAGACAGTAATTACATGTCATTGCCCACTCCGCAATTACGCCGTTACTGCTAATTATATTATAAAAACGTACGTTTATTACTATGTAAATACACATGTCAGTCTCACGGTCACTTATTATACACAAATGACTTATTTTAATTAATTTTAGACTTTAATGACTTTGAAATTATAGCTTAAAGATTAGATGATATGTCACTACTGTAAGACGAGAAGAAATAGAAGGGAGGAACGGGCCGTGTAAGCTCGGCCCGGCCCATTCTGGCCATAAGATCAGGCCGGCCTTAAGCTAACATTAAAACATTAGGCTCGGCCCACAGGTCTAAAATGTAAAACGCAAAAATTTTTTTTTTGCTTTCCGTTAACGTTTATTTATATTTTGGGTACTAAAATCAATAAATAATCTAAAAAAGATGCAAAGCCAATTTATTTTTCTTTTTTGTTTTGAAATTTACAATTTTTTTAAAGCTGTGCGAGTCAACTAGACATAAAAATTTTTTGGTAGGACCGGGCCTGCCTAAAGAAACAAAAACAAGCCAAATTTTTTTGAAATTAGGCTTAGCCTGGCCCGTTTCTCTACTCTACGCAAGAAGAAGTAAGTACCATCAAAAAAATATGTCCTACACTTGTCCTACTTCGCCTTCTCAGAATGAAATTTTCCCACTAAACTCTGATCAATATAAAATCGAAATATAGTGAAACCTAACAGGACTCCGTTTACAACGAAACCCCCCGTTATAACAAATTTTTTTGAATGTCATTGGAAAAAAAATTTACATTGATTTTTTAGTAAAAGAATTCTGGATATAACGATCCCTTGCTATAGCAAATAGTTTTTTAATCCTCTTCCTCGTTATATTGGGGGTTTACTGTAAACGCTTGTATAAAACCTCATTGTAGCCATTAAAGTATAAAAATCTTTTCCCAAAATTCCTATTTTTTAAATACCTTTTTACCACCTACAATTTTGATTTCAAAATTTAAAACAAAGTACAATTAATCGTGTTGCAATTTCAGTAAGGGACACTGACCCTTACAATATAAAACACAAAAGGTAACTTCAAGTGTTACAATTTTAAAAAGCCAACTACAAATCTTTTGCTCGCTCCAAGTTAGGTAACTACAATTGGAGGTGGAACTGCTTTGGTAATTGGTTTTAACGTGGTACCGCATTTGCTCGGCATTTTTTAAAATTGTACTGTAGTACCATACAATAAAGTCTCCGTACTGTATGGTAAAGCATTACAGACATTTTAATTTCAAAAGATGAAAGTACCAACCCTGAGGCTTTAAAATATTTTTAATTTTGCAGCTTAAGAAATCAATGTTCTTTCCATAGTCTTTTAAACTGATTAAAAATAGATCCTACCATACCCTATCCTCTTATGACAAACTTCAAAGTTAATAAAAAAATAATATGTAAACCCTTACTCTTTAGTGTAATATCCTCCTTTTTTACTTATTTATTAGTTTAGAAGCACGTTCAAGCACTAAATCACATAGTTTAAGTATATTATCTGATTAAGCGGCCAACAGATTTACATATACATAAATATATATTTCTACTCGATAAGAGCCTTACCGTATGGTATAATGTTGTACCACGAACGTTAGTTATTTTAGATATTTTCATTTCGGTACTTTCAATCAGCACAAGTTGCAATCTGGTATTAAAAACATACTTTAAATAATTATAATATCTATATATATGCATATGTGTGTATTTTATAATATATATATATGTATCTTATTATAATAAATATATATATATAAATCAGACTGAAAGAAAATTCACACAAGCTTCTGCTGTGTATGTACCTATAGATTCATCAGCTGCTACATAAAACAATAAAAAAAAATTTCTGATCACATTAACACATTAAAGGCTTTAAACTATTAACCTCGTTAATATTATACCAAACCAGCTTTTAAAGAATTTAGAATACGCAATAAATGTAAAATAAATTTTACCATCTTCTTTACCAAAGAACACGCAGTTTTCCTGGTTTAAAACTACTAAAACTGTGAAAGCTGTAAAGTATAGAAAAAAAGCTACAAAATTAATTATAATTTAATTAAAAAATTTGCATAATAATGCATTAGCCTAGTCACAAAACTTTTTTATTTTGCTTTATGTTATACTTTTACAGTAAGTCGGACTGCTGCTAAAAGTAACACCAAAAAGTGGCTTTTTGTTCAATTTAAGAAAACTCAACTTTCTCAAAGGTTTTTTTACTATGTGCAAATTATAGTAATTAAGCAAAAAAAAATGAAAAAAAATTGTTGCTAACAGAAAGAAAACTTCGAAAAATGTAAGGTGAGAAACCGGCCGGGCCACTCCTAGTTTTATTAGGTAGGTAAGCACAAAATTTTGAATGAATACATTTTGAAGATTAATCTTTCAAACTGTGTACTCAATTTTAACGTATCTCGTTTCCCAGTTTGCATACCAAGAAAACATTGAGATAATGTAATTTTTCCACAAAATTAACTGCGAATATATAATAGTTTACATAAATTAGAACTGCTTATCAACCTACAACGACAATTAAAGTATGTTAATAAAAACCACTTTTTGTATCTTTGTGTAATTAAAAAACTAATCTTACAGTAATTTCAAATCTAGAAGAACACGTTTATAAATCCTTTCAAGATAAAACACAACTACATTATATAAAAATAAATCCCATAACATTTAAAGACAATAAGTGAAATAGATTTTGTTTACTACGTGATTTGTTTTTTTAATTAGCTCCGAAGAAGCCAGTTGTTTCACACAGAACAGTCAATTGTAAAAAAACCAATCCGATCAAGTGCACAAGACATACAGTTAACAGCACAAAAAACAGTTAAGAGTACAACAGCAAGAGTACATAAGGTCAACCACATACAGCATTAAGAATGTTGTAAGCAACATTAAACATATTGTAGCCAGACGTAGATGTACTGTAAACAGCTTACATATCGCAAGAATCTCTTAAGCCGACTTTTGCTCTTTTTACAATTACTATACAATATTACTGTACTTTGGCTTGATTAATACCGTCATTTATGAAAAAATGCAAACGGAAAATGGCAGTTTTAATATAACATACAAAATCACAAAGAACAGTTTTCAAAAATATGTAAAAATATCTTTTTGATAAAAAATCGACAGTAAATTATATTTAAAAATTGAAAATGTTAGTTTTAAAAGGCGTCTCAACGACAAGTACGTACATTTACGTGAACACGGTAGAAAACCACTTACTATAACCCCCGTTTTAACTGTTGCCAAATTTAATACATACTTGAACATAATAGTCGATTAGTTTGACGTCAAATTTTGAATTTTGTTACAAAATTTCATTACTTGGAAAAATAAGTAGAGCACATTACAAGAGCAGAAAAAACTTATTATAATAAAAAGTCCCGTTATAAGAAACATCTCTTTAAAGTCTTTAAATTATTATTGCGTGTCATAAGCGACAGCTAACAAATTAAAGATTTCAAATTTTAAATTTGCAGCTCTGTCGTTTTGTAAATTTTAGCTCCGACTGCAGCTCCGATGCCGTGTCGGCTCCGATTCAAATAAATTGCAATAAATTTTTTTAAATGTCTGTGTAGTAGCTAGTGACACATATGGTCCTTACCAAATGCTGTACTAAAAAAGGTAAGTGTCTTTAGCACTGAAATTCGGAATTTCCTGGCTCCGGCTCTAACTCCGGCTACGCTATTTTATAAATCCCCGCTCCGGAGCTCTTGGGACTGCCTAGCACTTCCATAATATCTTTCACTACTACCATTTTTTTCACAAAAAAAGAATTTTTGAAAAAAAAACACATTAGGCAACAAGAACTTTTGTTCCAATTTATAGTTGCACTACCACAATAAAATTATTCTTTAATTTTTTAAATTTTGCCATTTTCATGTATTATATATACACCACATTACTAATAACATGTTTTATGGTGTTATTAAAAGGTTTGCGCAATAGAATTATGTTTACATAAATTAAATGGTAACTGTTTCTTCCGTGTAAACACACCGCCACCTATTATTCTTCTTCCCCTATACTTTTTTAAAATTTTCTGTCACATAAACAACTTTTACTAGCGGGCTACCTAACATACGATTAAGATCTTTATCAAATCCTACAATAAACCTTATAATAGGTTTTTAGTTGTACAAGTAAAATCTACTCTAAACACTTTAACACTTTTAAAAATACCCTTTATTTGCCATTTTTGTTACCTAAAAATACTAAAACAATATTTTTTTTAGAAAAAAAGATGTTATACGACAATCTTGTCTCCCATGAGCGTCATTGCCACCCTCATGAAGATGGAACCCGGCATTTAACGCGTCTAATTACAATTACTCTATTTTTGGTCGATTTACTAATTGAACTTTTTACAATCCCAATTAAGATACTTGAATGGTTCCGTATAGTAAGTCTTAGCTTTTGTAATCACGAGTTTCCATACGTATACGGTAAGATATGTTTCAAGTTAGTGGATAAGTAATTACGTGTTATCTATTATAAATGTTATGAGACGCTTTATACACAAACTATTTTTTACAACTCTAAGATGAAAAAAAAACAATAAGAATGATAAGGTAGCATATTATTGTAATCGTATGTTATGTTACTCTTTTAGAAGATACAAGGTTTGCAAAGGCACAATTATCATCAATATTGTCATAACAATAGACAAAGACATAATCATTACAATCAAGATGTTGACTCTCACCACCACGCTCACAGACATCGTCACCATATACCTAATAGACATAATAACCTTCATGAACACCACCAGAACGATCACGCAGATATTCGAAACATTGTTTATGATCATCATCACCATGACCATGATAGTGATGATAACATTCACAGACATAATCATGATCAACACCAAGATATTCAAAACAACGTTCATAAACATCACCATCATGACCATGGTCGCTGTGTTATAGTTAACAATTATCATGACCATGAGCGCTATGAACACAATAGCCATGCTAACCTTCACGGACACCATCATCACCATGCCTCTCATAGTCACGTCAACGAATCAGCTTGTTCGTGTCTCAAAGATCTTTTAGCCCAATATGAAAGTAACCTTCATAAGCAAGGTATGTAATTTCAAACAATTTTCAAAAAGAAAATTTAGTTACTTATGCAATGATTTAGTTACAGCAACCGATAGTACTATGGTCCTTACCAAATGCTTTACTAACGAAAGTAGTTGTAACGCTACCAACTTTGATCAACTTCAAACTTGCTCAACTTCCAAGTCAGACGATATTAAGCAATTTCTATATAGTATTCTTGATACACTAAATAACGTTCCAAACACCCAAGAAGCTGTTGCAAAATTGTACACTACGTTGCCTGAAGGCTTTAAAAACAACCTTCAAAATGTAGCAAATCCGACTGATCTTTCTACCATGTTACAAAAACTAACTCAAGAAACTGTTGCAAAAGGTACTTCTGATGATATTAACGGTGATAATAAGGCTGAAGAAGAAAAGAGAAAGCTGAAAGAAGAAGAATCAGACAAATCTGTAGACGACTTTGAACTAGAATAAAAAATGTATTGCCTATATCAAAAGTGCTATAATATGAAAATAAACATTAAACTAAACAATACCCAGAAGCTTCATACCTTAACTTAATGTAACTCTTAAACTAATCATACGCTTCTCAATTAAAAACCGTAAAATTTTAAAATCATTAAAAAGTCACCTTTAATTCAAGTACAAATTATTCCGTGTTGCATAGTATCACATACAATCAGCGCCTACAATTACTCGTAACTACAATGTTTGAGTAGGTTTCTACATTTAGTAACCTGTATTGTCCAATAGTCTAAATTTTAAAGTTCTCAATTGTTGAAACTAAAAACCTATTATCTAAATTATTGTCGTTTTTATATATTGTAGGATAAAAGAATTTTGTGTAAAACAAGTTTTAAATTTTTCAAATTTACAATAGTTATGAACTTTTAATATCACAGCTTGTTCGACACCTACAGTGTATGTCACTCAAAAATAGCTTTAAAAGTTTAAAGTGCAGGCAAAACAATCCTTAACCTTTAATAATTAGAATTTCGGACATTTTTATAAAGGCAATTTAAATTTTTAATTTGCCACTAAAATTCAATTGAATTTTAGGTGCTATACAACATTAGGAAAAGTATAACAAAAAATTAAAATTCAAAAATAATTCATGAAAAAGCTCCTAGAACATTGGTACAGTAATCTGAAATTATAATAGTATGACTTCTTTAATTAACTGCACTGTGCCGAGATATTTCGAACTTTTAAATACAGTCACAATCCTTTAGTCTGATCTTCGATAATATGACGCCCTTTTTATAATGACAGCTTCCTGACCACACTTTAGTCCAGCCTAATGAGTGTCATGCTAAAGAGGTTTGACTGTAAACGCGGCTCTTCAACAGACTGCCAAAAGCAATGTAAATTCATGTAAATAAGCCTGAATGTAACGGTGTAAAGCCCTCAATAAAGAAGAACAGTCCTAATGGTCCCTGCCTTTTATACCATTAAAGATATAACAAATATTGAAACCTATATTCATATATACCTAAAGTAAAACTAAAGGAATATAACGGCCCAACATTTTCCAAAAAACCCAAATTTATAAACAATATTATACATTTATTGAGCGGCAAACTTGTACAAAATATAATATGCAAATATAGTATCAGTTCTAAACTACAAATGGCATATTTTCATTCATTTTCGTATGAAAATATTATTATAGTTAAAAACTGAAGGCATTAACACGGTTAGTGAGAACAAAGCTTCATAAGATAAAAACAAAGCTTCTTAAAATAGTAATGTTGTTGTTGAAAGATCACTGGTGCATTTTGAGTTTGAAACATTGACTCGTTGGGTTAAAAAAGACCTGAAGACGTACAGCATGTTATTTAAGGATAATAGGCATGTTATGTAAGGAAAATAGACTTTACTTAATGACAATACAGTACACTATTTACGAGAAATACAGTATTATTAACAAACGAAACAGCAGGTTATTTACAAACAAACTTCTAGTGTCAAGACGTCGATATAGAGCAAGACATTAGCTTGATATTAAAAAAAGTCATCAAAAGTAACTGAACTAATATAAAACATGCAATCAAAAGTAATTAAAGTAATAGTTAAAAGTGTGTAACAATAGTAAAAGTGTCAAATAATACAGATATAAATAATCGTTGTAACATATAGTTAATATATTAGATTGTTCAAATAATTCAGTGCCCCTTCTCAATGTAAATTTTGAGAGTTAGAAGGCACAGAATTATCTGAATAATCTAATAAGTACTCTAATTAAATAACAATGTAAGTTGACTGTTCAAGTACACATAATACACCATATGCACTTTCAGTACCCAAGTGAATTCCGAGTCAAGAGCCCAGTAACACGTTGTGCCATTGTGAAACAGTGAAACATCGTACCTCGCAATTTACCGTACAAACCTATGACTGGTAACATTTGATAACATCGAGAATCATCTGGCGACACAGCGGGCAATTCCTCGTCGTTTGCATCGTCTTCTCCGCACAACCAAAACACATACACATGTGGCCACAACGGTATAGGACAGAATTGACTCGATCACTCATGCACACAATGCACTCTGAGTTGATACCACCATCTTGCACCGAGTCTCCTGAAAATAAATATTCAATATGATGTTGAAAATCATGTTCATCACGTTATTTTATTCCTTTAACAAAGTAGGAGCTAGAAAAAAATATCGAGCCTACCACAATTTGAAAGAGTGTAAAAAGTTACAATAAAGTATTTTTTAGCTGACCGTAGCGCGACAGGTCCTAGTTGGAAAATCCCAACGTTTTCACAAATAACATTTGAGGCTTTACAACTATTAGTATCAATGATAAGCAGCTAAAAACACTTGAACCATCTATAATTGTTTACGCTCACCCACATAGCATAAGTCATAATTCTAGGTGTTATACCCCGCGGTTGCTTTTCCCTTGTAAAAAAATTGTACCACCTTCTAGTAGAGACCCTCTACTATCGTCGATCCCAACTTTTATCATCTAGTACTGCTTACACCAACGCCATGTAGATAATAAAATAATTCAAAAAACCTTATAATATTTCAATTTGCAACAATATGTCAAAGCCTCCAAAACTCTTGTCACCAATTCCCTATACCTTGCCCCTTTAAAAGCGACAAAACTTTTAAATTTAAACCAGAACAAAGTAAATCCACAACCCCCACATGTAACTTTAAGCACAGATTAACACACGTTTCTATACCGTACTATGAATTATAACGTTTAAATTAATTATAATCTTAAAATAGAAATTCCTCACACACTTGGGATTACTGTAACATCATTACTGTTATTTTTAATTTTCTTTGATGAATTTTTTCTTTTCCTTTACAATAGCCTTATATCATACTGTTAATGTACCGTAACTCATAATTACATTTTTAGCTTCAAAGTTACTATAAATACATTTAATCTACCTACAACATCTCTATCCAAAAGTACATAAAAAACACCTTGCAGTATATTTCGATATACTGCAAAGTTGAGTTTTGTAGCTTAGCACGAAGTCGCACCGTTTTTTGGTCCTTTCTGGTTTTTCATGCTTAACATTAAAGCTAAAATTACTCGCATTGTACTTATTAAGTACGAATTTACTCCACAATAATTGTATCCATTTTTAGGATAAATAGTACAAAAGTAAAGTATAATTTGGCGAAACAATTGCGAGTTTTTGTAGTGCCAACATGTAACAACCTGAATACGTAGCACGCGCACGCTAAAACAGATGACTTGAAGTAGCTGGAATTTCATCAGCAAACTATGGTAAACGCCAAAACTACCGTACATTTTAAAAATTTAAGACTAGACAAAAAATTCGTTCGAAAAATTTTTAAGCCTTGTCAACACTCGTTAAAAGTAAACACAAAAAATTCCATATGCTTTTGTATTATAGAAAGAGCTACACTATGATCATTTTTCAATCCAGATCCTCAACATAAAATATCCAATATTATAAAAAAAACTAAACGCTATGTTTGCCGCAACCATGTTCGTTATCAAAAAATGCAAAAAATATTTACAGATACCTATACTTATACAAAGGTTACTAAAAAACAAGCAAATTCACAGAAAAACCAAAAACTGCCTTAAGTCAAAAATTCATTGTAGAATCCCTCACAGAGTTCAAACCCACATTACTCATCTCAGAATACCCACACATCTACCTAGCAAACCCACATTAACACAAAACCCACAACCAAAATCACATCGAAACGTACTGCTACTAAACCATATGTACTTTTGCTTATATACCCACTCGGCTAAACTTTTTGCACTTTTATTACTACGTACCGTCAGCTGATGTACTTTAAAACGCGAATATGGATAGTTTTTCCAGATTCTGCCCTTTTATAGCGTGTACTTTTAAGTACGGTACGTGTTATTAATTAGCAATAACATAATCCATAAAAACAGTGTTACTTCGCTGTTTCATATAGTGCTTTGCTATTATAGTTGTTCAATCTATTGAGTAGTATGGAGTTATTGAGATTTTTTAACCTGTTATTTAATTTTGTTATATTATTTTGGTTTTCTTGTTGAACTTGTGATATTATAATGAATCGTTTCATTTTTTATCAGTAGTTTTCAATAAAATATTATCTTTTTGAGTATGTAGTAATTTTTTTTATAATTTACTCTTTTTTGTGTGTTTAAACGTGGTAAAAAGCCATAATGTAAGTTTTATTATTAGGGTTTTCAATCTTTATTGTCTTGTTTGTTAAAGATCCATTTTATTTAAATTCGTCATTTTTAACTTCTCTTCAAGTTCCGACCCGTATTTTACACAAAACAACTTTTTAAATTCAATTACGATACTCCCCATCCACCAACACTTTTTCATACCCACCCTATCCTGTAATTAATGTCTCAACTGTTTTGTTTTAAAGTCCAAATATGTCGTTTTTACAGTTTTTAACCCAAATTTAAACCCAAAAGTATCATTTTATTAGGTTGAACCTCATCATTTCTAATGGACCGCAAGGAAACGTACAAAAGTACTAATTAAAGTTGTCATGTTTCCTAATACGTTTCCAATGACATATTAAATTGTCCTAAAAATACATTATAATGAGTCACACTACATAAAGCGCGTGAAACAGCGCGTGTTACCTATCAGTTCATAAGAAATTGAGTACAAATTGATAGTTACAGATAAGTAAAGTATAATTTAGCGATCATGTGTTTTGAGTATACTTGAATAGGTTTTTGGATCAGTAGTAACAAATTATTACAAGTAACAACAAAGCAAAACTATATTTTAAGAAATTGCATCTTTCCGGTACAATATTAATGTAAACTATTGTGTAATACTCTTTCGGCAACCTCGTTTTATTCACAGTAAGGTTTACCAACCTGCTACAATGCAAATCCAAACATCCCAAGAAACATTAACTATAACCTCACATACACCATCTTATTTTAAAACTATGTACCATCTTTTAAAATATAAAAAAACGTATTTTACAAAAAAAATCTCCAAACCTTCCTCCGAAGCCTAATTTACAGCTAAGTAAGCCTTACCTGAACTGCTTCTTTCGACTGAATTCGTTCGCACAGGAGCCGTTACCGCTGGTGCTGATACTGATGCCGTTACTACAGAGCTGGACGTCGTTGGAACATCGCCAACAATCGATTGTGTCGCCGCATTTGCTGCTCGAATCCTATCCATAATGGAGGAAACCCGTGATACTGGAGAAGAGTTGCGTTGAGATCGTTCGGATAAACTAAAAATTTAAAAGTAAAACGAATTTATTCATTATGAATTTTTAAAATGTATCCTTAGTTTTTTAAAATATTCCAAAGCAGATTTATAATTAAAAAAAAACAAGTTTTATTAAAGGTTCAAATAGTTTTGAAATGTCAAAAAATCTAATTATATTTTTTAAATTAAAAAATAAAATATGATAATAGCAAGCCAACTTACTCAGCCATTGGTGGACTGCTATATGCTATCATGCTGAAATTAAAAGGCCAAGCGTTAGTAAGCAAAAATTATATTTCTAAACAAAAACTCAATATTAAATATAAACAAAAAACTAGGTCAAAAAAGTAATATAATACCTAATTTAAAACAAAATCAAGTCAAATTCAATAGATTAATTAATTTTAGGTGTTAGAATTACTAAAATATAATAAAATTGCTTACGGAACTCTGAGCGGTGGCAAAACACTAGAAGTTCGCTCAGAAGCCAACACATCAGCTCCTTCCGTAGCTCTTCTCGAGCTTTCTGAAGGTATAATAGCTGACAACCTATCCAATTCACTTCTGTTGGCCGATAACGTCGCCTCTAACCTCGCGATCTGTCTTATATTGTCAGTCATTTCTTGCCGTCGCCTTCTCCGTTCATCATCTGATCTTGCCGTCTCTGATCGTTCACTTTGTGGACTGCCAGTGTTCAACCGACTCAGCTGATTCCGTAGCTGATCCAAATCAAGCTGAACACTCGTCACTCGTCGACTCCGATCTCTGATGGCATTTAATCGTGAGTTGAGGTCGTTGATCGTCGTTTCGTCACTTGAACTGTCATCCTGACCGTCGAGAGGTGATCTGCGGGTTGAAGTTGGAGCTGATTGAACTGTTAGTAGCCCTTGTTCTGGTAACTGTACACGAACTCCGTACTCATTGGCCAGGTTAAGCCGGTTGATTTCCGTTGATGAAGAACGTCTTGGCGGAGAAACTACACCAAGTTCGGCTGGTGATGTTGACATTGGTATCCGTGGTCGAATTGAAATTTCAGAAACATCTAAAAATTCAAATTAAACACTTTTTTTAACTCTATCTATAAAAATTAAAGACATATAGCAAAGAAGAAAAAATACCGTATCATCAAAGTAGATATAAACATTAAAAAACTTACCGGTAAGCTTAATTTTAACAGTAGAACCATATAAATCAAAGAACACCCAAAGAGGTATAGAAACATCAACATGCATTATCGTCCTTGCATCGTACCCGTTTTTAGAAAACATGACTTCTCCTAAAACATCATCAAATCAACTTTCACATAATTTCTTACTAAAAATTACATTACTTAAAAGATAAGAACATACCATCGTTCGTAAACCAAAACACAGCCGTTTCGTCCCTCTTTGGATTAACAGCAACGTTCTTAATACACGTCCAATACTCTTTTCGGTCCAACAAATTATCCGAATCTCGAGGCAGATCATCAATGTTTTCAATTTCAGCTGGATCACAACTAGTTACTCCAAACGCCATTGATCCAGCAAACTCTGGTTCATGTTTCATCACAATCAATGAAATCTTCTCCATAATCTGCACGGGCCTATGGGAAAACACGTAGGCTTGACAGTAATCAGCACCGATCCTTGTGGCTATCGTACTGTCTCTTGTTATAACAATATTTCCCGAGTGAATACGATGAAATTTAAGATCTAAAAACCAATATTCATATAAATATAAAGACTCACCAGACATAGGAAATTGTTCATTCACAGTGTCAAGCTCTTCTTCTGAACTTGAGTTTCGAATTTCGGGGACTTCAACTCGGTTCAAACGTGTTAACTCTAAAGTATGAAACATAATTAACTTTTATGATAAGAAAAAATATGACTCGTACTTAAGCAAACCCAAAATAAAATTAAAGCTGAAAAACAAAGAGCTACTTGATCCAAAAAAATATTTTAGTAGCTTACCCATGAGCTCCAAAGCCTTGCAATTGCCATAAAGGTCGAACATTCCCCAAAGCTGACCACGAGTATTAATTTTAGACATAAAAATACCCTGACTTTGACCATTAACTCCGTATGACAAGTTACCATCGCTATCTACAGAAAAATGAAGAATCTTGCCTTGAACTGAAAATCGTTCAGGCAACGTTTTGCACCAAAAACCGCCTTTCGACGTGAGATCAGGACATGCAAATCTAAAAATATAATATTGTTGAGCAGTTGAAAACTTGATATTAACTAGATATAACATTTCATAAACGATAGGTCAACTTATTTTCATTAATTAAATTAATAAGGAATTTTACAATAGACTTTTGATGAAGATCCCTAAAACAACGATATAAAAGTAAAGTAATTCCTTACTTTGGAAGTTCAATATCACGAAATGAAGCTGGATCAACACTCGTTACTCCAAACCTCATCACACCCGACCACTGAGCTGATACTTCTGATAACCGTACGCAGATTACTTCATTTACAAGAACAGGCCTAAAACAATAAATTTTAAGTGTTTTTCCGCTACTTCAACGTTTTACTCGTTAAATATTATTAAAAACAATTAAAGAAGGGTTCAGTAATCAACACCAGACCTTCTCCAATGTTCCCTTTTCATTTTTAACACATGATCTAAACCTTAAAATCAAAAAACAATAAGTTTCATACCTATTTGTGAAGACAACTCCCTTGCAAAACGACTGTTCTCGTCTTGCAACTTTGCCATTCGAATTCAACGCGATATATTCACCATGAATACTGTTAAACTCAAGGAAAGGCTGCGGATTGCGTTCGGTTCCTCTGTTAACAGTTACTTGGCCGCGATTGAAGATATTCTGAGGATCCATATCTTCAATCATCCTCTCTGAAATAATATAGTTAAAAATCGTTGATTTAACCTGAAAGTGCATACGTTCCAAACATTATTTACAAATCAATTTTAAAAAGTAGAGGACATGTTTTTGTTTGCAAAAAATAGTTATTTTCGAGAAACACATGGCCAAAAAAGTTCGAAACCGCCCAAAAAATCCGTCATTTTGGTTGTCTGTAGTGCATAAACGTAACAAAAAATAACAAAAATACGTTTTTATAAAGTAAATTTACAATATATATTCACTGGTAACATAAGGTAACATTAATTACATGAATAACCTTGATTTTAAACGTGTCACAATGACAGATTTTATAAAAGAAAAAAATTTTTCCCGAAAAAACGAGCAAAACAACGAAAAGTTTACTTTTTGCTATTACAAGCTGTTTTGGAGAGTAAAAAACGTCGGAAAAACAGTGGTTTCCGATTATATTTTTGACTACCACCTATTTTATATTGTAGTAGATAAACCTGGGTTATAAAGGAAAAAGGGGTTAAAGTATTTTATTCAGATTAAAGATGTTACCAAGCTTGAGCCTTATAAAGTCTCCTCAATGCCTCTGTTTACCAAAAAGAATAAAGTTTTGTTTCTTTTCTCCCTCATTTTTACATTTACAACACAATTTTTACAGTTTCACATCACTAAACACAACGACATCTGACATTGTATCTGTCGCCCTCATGACATCAGACAAAAACAAAAACGAGACCTGAACGTGCGGGTGTATTACCCATTTCCCTTCTTCTTCGTCCTGACGTGAAAGACGTTGTTCGATCAGCTGGCTTTTCGAAACTCAGGTCAGCTCATTGCCCTCAGAGTTGGACGAGGTTTTGCTGCTGAAAACGGTGATCATTTGACTCGCTGGGCACGGCACGGGATTCGAGAATAATAAATCAAACACGAAAAACGAAAGGGGCTCGCGGTGTTTGGACTTAGATGATGGTCAACGTGACAGGTTTGACAGCGTGACCTTTGTGTCTAGAATAACAGGCAAAAATAGAAGACGTGAGTAAGATTTCGAAGTAAAAAAGGTGATAATGAAAGGTTTATAGATGGTTTTGGTCGCAAATTAAAACAATTTCTTGCATTTTTACGAAGGTTATAGCCTAGGCTAGTTTAACTTTCAGGTTTTTAAGCTTATCTTTTGAACAAACTCATGGATAATGGACGAAAATAGCCAACGATATTGTTTTAGTTATCACTTTTTTTAAAATATGTGTATATACACCAAATTTTTTTGTAATGTTAAACATTTTATAAAGATGATCAGCCTGAAAAGAATATTTGGAAAACCTAGCGATCTTCAAGGTAGAAAATTTACAAAAAACTTTAAACCACCAATTTTCAATACCTACGTCTTTCCAAAAACCTTTGTACTTACACCCCTTCCAGACTATTTCATAGACCAATCAATTAAAAAACTAAAATGACTTTGGAAATACCTTGTACTAACACGATGTACTAAAAGAGCATTGACCTCATTATCGGCCAGCTGATACGACTATCATAAATTTGACTTCAAACCCTTCGAAATGTCGATCAAAATTTTTCAGAAAAAATGGCTGATAAGAAAAAGAAAGAAGATTGAAACGTGAGAGTAAAGAATTAGCAATTACAACATTGGAAGTAAGCGGTAGTAATTGTGATCGTACAAATATGATTGATTGTGTGGGGAGGGGTGAATTAAAATGTATAGGTTTGGGCCGTTTTTGTTAACGGCTTATGATAACAATTAAGATAAGTTTAAAATTTTGAAATTAAGGGGAAAACTGAGTTACAACATCAGTTGAAAAGTAAAATTTCTTTGATTACAGATTAGATCGAAAAGGTTGTAATCGCCGAACCTGGCACGCTCTTTTGTAATGGTTTATATTGTAATGGCATTGGAAATCAATGGACTTTGAATTGGAATTTTAAATCGACCATAAAATTTGCTTTTCTAGTTAAACTAGCTCAGTTTATTTTTCTTCCCTGCCCTCCCCTACGCTACCTTACCCTATCCTACCCTATCTTACTCTACACTATCTACTCTGTCCTAATCTACCGAATCTCTCTTACCCTACCTTTGCTTACCCTGCCTTTCCGTACTTTATTTAGCACTTACTCTGCCCATACTTTACTTTTATCTACCTCGTATTGCCACATCTCGTTACTATTTTTCTCCACCATGTCCTGCACTACCCATAACTCCTAAGCCTAACCTCATTACCACACCCAACCAGACAAAACCACTAATCATAATTGCGAATCTAAATAACAATACCGCTCAGTTCAAGTAGTTTGTTTTGTTTTTGTCACTTTTGTTTTTTTCGTCACCATTCGGCTTCGAAATGGATCCATTTCGAGAGAATAAACCAGATCAGATAAACGAGAGTCTCGAACGCGGAACACCGTACCCGGTACGGCTTTTTTGGCCTGATCTCGTGATTTTATGGCCAAGATTTTGGGCCTAGCAAAAAGTAAAAAAAAATGTTTTTGAGTCGTATGTGGTCAGTTTAATATTGTCATAAAATGGGTTATTGGGCTGGCATGATGAAATAAAGACAGAGATGAGTCAAAGGTAAATGTAAACGTCGCTAGGGTTACTTGTAGTCAAAAAATGGTCAATTTTAACCGTGTAAATAAAAAAAAGCTTAAAACCTTTAAAAAACCATTTTTTACCAATATTCTCCTTATCAGTTCACAATTTTCAAAAGAAAAAAAACTATTTAAATAAAGCCCACTGGCCAGTCAAAACGAATTGAAAGAAACCTTTAAAACGCTGAAAAAAGGTCAAAAACGGGTTAATATCATCGTTAATATTCATAATCGATAGCCTTCTTTTGGGTTATCTTTTATGGCCTTAAAGGAAATTTGGAATTGGAAGAATGAAAGGCTAGAAGACGGTCAAATTTTAAAATTTCTCGGACTTAAATGGCTTGGTAGTGATACGAGTATTAATATTCATATGTTTATCAAGATCAGTTTATATAAAAAACTACGACATTGCCTGTAGTATGGGTAGGCAGGAATGGATAGTAATCTGGGCTAAAGCAAAATTATCTAGAAAAGCCAAATACAGTTGAACTCCTGTATAACGAATCGCCTGGGTATTTTAAATTCTTTCAATACGCACGAGTTTTGGTATACAGAAGTTTTAAAGCACTGTATAGTGTTGAGCTTATATTTACAAGTTGTTTATTATACAGAGTTTTTATATTAGAGAAGTTCTTTATACAGAAGTTTAAGATTACTCCATTATTAAACAAAGTATAATATTTATATAAACCATAAAAGCGATGAAAATACACAAAAAATCGCCCAATTCTGCTTAAAACGAGTAAAACTTAAAACCAAATTACGATGGCTCTCATCGAGATTGCAAAAACATTGTCTACAAAGGTGAGACGACCCGCGAAAGGTGAATTAAACTCGAGAAAACGCGCAAGAACCACTTTTTCCCATTTCCGTTTTACTCGGTCATTCACTGAGCATCGAAATCGACGCTTTGGCCATGGCGCGTCTCTGGTCGCGAGCCAGATTCGAAAAATTCATTTATTAAGACAATATCTGATGGGTCGCGCAACAGCATGGGTCAGACATATATAAACATGCTTCCGTGGTGGGGGTTTCAATGTATAATATAAATATTTTGGTAGTAGGTTAAAATTATTTTTTGGCGGGGTATGGCGAAGGCAGAGAAATATTGTATGATTTTATGAGGGAGAGGGAGGGAAAAAGTAGGGTAGTGTATGGTAAATTAGGATCAGTAAGAAAAGTAGGGTCGAGTAGGGCAGGGTAGGGCGAAATGTCACTTTTTAAATTTTTTTTACGAAATGTCAAAGTTAAACCCCCCCTCCTTTTCTCAAACCCCCTCCTTCTTAATTACCATCCCCTTTCTTCTTCTTACCTACTCCTCAGATCGCCTTCCTGTCTGTCCTACCTAAAATTTTAAATAATTTTTTAATAATTTTAGTTTTATATCAAAAATTTGAAAAAATTTTTTTAATTTTAAAAATCCCAATTTTCAAACTATAAACCTATCCTCATCATAATCGCGAAATAACTCCAAAACAGGCTAGTTAACAAAATTAATGGAGAAGTGTTGTATAAAACATCTTCACCCACGTCAAGAAGAACCTGCTCTTTCTTCCCCGCAGGCACTACTCGAAAAATGTTGACAGCTGTTTTGCTTATATTAAAAACACAAAAAAAAATGGAAATCGAGGGCGTTCGAAATGGAGGGTGAAAGAGTCAAACGGATCCAAATGGATTCCAAAACTGACAATTTTTTTCGACAGAATATCGAGGATTGCAAACAAAACTTGAGATGAAAATGGAAGGTAATAGGGCATTTAGATTTGATCTTATCTATGTAGATCATAACTGATCGTGCTGTACTCTACTTGCTTGAGTACATAGCGTACTCTAACCTTACACATCCATATTCTACTCTTCCCAACCATATCCTGCATTAAAAACTAGGCTTTACTTTGCTCTCCCTATCATAAACACCTTTATCCACCCAGCTCTGAGCATTTCTGTAATGGTCCCTGCCATGCCGAATCGCATAACTCTACCCTATTGTAACGTCCCCTAACTATACCTTGGCGCTATAAGAACCCTTACCCTTCTATTTCCTACTCTATCATACTCAGCCCTCCCTGCCGTATCCTAGTTTACAAGGGAATGTTACAAACTGTCTTCGCTTATTAAAAATGAATGGTACCATGTGAAAGAGCGTAAAAAGTTGACTAAAAATCTATTTTCAAAAACTGCCAAATTCGCCTTACAAGCCCGCTAGCGAGCTTTAAAAATCATTATTAAAAGGGCCTTTTATGTTCATATGCTTTATTTTCAATTTTTGTATGTTCAAAAAAATTTTTTTTTAATTGTTTTATGTTTTAATAGATATAAGAAACAATTATCAACAAAAGAATTTTAGTTCTGTTAATGAAAATTAATTTAAATTTAAAAAAAATAAACTTTACTACCCCAAAAGAGAATCGAACCGGAACCGCATGATTGCGCAATCACGGCGCCTTTAACCACTTGGCCAATCGAGCACACTTGGTTCCTCTCTTCGAAAAAATTCAAAAGAAAGCGGACGTAGAAAAACCATTTTAATAAGGAAAATTTTAAAAGCTCACTAGCGGGCTTTTAAGGCGAATTTGGCAGTTTTTGAAAATAGATTTTTAGTCAACTTTTTACGCTCTTTCACATGGTACCATTCATTTTTAATAAGCGAATGGACAGTTTGTAACATTCCCTTGTTAGTAAAAAATTTCCTACCCTATCCCACCCTAGTACCAAAATAACCCCCAAAAAGCTGGCAAAACCTTCCAAACTCAAAAATAGCTCTCATACGTCAAAAAGCCTTTGTCATACTTATCTGTTCCTTCGCCTTTCACCTCATGATCTTAATGTATTGTTTGAGCGATGACACATTCTCTTTCTTTATGTTTCTTTATGTCCGTTAATTGTGTCGTAAATAGTTCAAACACATAATAAAGATATCAGTTGGGAGATTCTAAATATCTCTTTTGAAATTTAAAAAAAGCTGTATGATCTAACAAGGGCAAATAGGGGGGTATGGACCTAAAACGGAAACCTATATCATTTGATAGAGCGTGAAAAGTTATGTAGAAATTAAAAATTTTAGCCGCCCAAAGTCATATACTAAAAAGTTACAGTAGTTCAAAGTTTACTTGTAAGTGTAAAAGTCAGTAGAATATATAAAACTTTTATTAAATAATAAATATCTATTTATCACAATCTTATCAACAAAATAAATAAAATCTCGAAAACTATGTAAAAATACTAATTTCAATCGACACCCACTCGCAATCGAAAAAATATAATAACCAAAAATAATTTACAATCTTCTCACACACCTAGTATGAACAGTGCCTTGAGGCACAAAAGTAATATTCTGATGACCAAACTTTTGCTTACAAACAAAACATTCGTCTCCTTCTTTTACGATCGTAAACTTCTTCATATTCTTTGTCCTATTACTTGTAGCTACTATTGCCAAACTGGCTATGGCATTTCTCAACTTCAACATCTGAATATCCGACTCGGTTCTTTCTGTTGTGGCTTGGACTAGGCTTAAAAGTTCAGTAGGTGAAGATGACTTTAGATTTGGCAAAAACTTTTCGATTCCTCGGAACGGTCGAGTTTCTGTTAAGAGGTGAAGAAAACGGTCGCGGAGAGAGTTGTCACTGAAAAAAAGTGACTTTAACAAAAAACGGTGATTTTAGTAAATTTCCACAAGTCAGTTTAGCGTTAAAAATAGTACCAATGATACAATTTAAGACTACAGAAATGCATTATTACCCAAAAATGGTAACATAAAATTCCATTTTTTAAAGAAAACCAAGTTTTCTTTAATTTTTTAAGCCAAATCATCCAAAAATTGAAAGTGGAAACGAATCTCTTACCAATCATTTTTTAAGACAATCTCTTACCTATTATTGTCCTTTAAATAAAATGGAGCTATCGTGTATACAATTTCAGGTTTTTGATCGCAAAACCTTATGAACAAAGCTTCAGCCAACTCCAGGTCCTCTTCTACCAAACGCTTCAAACTTTCTTCCACATTTTGAAGCTAAAACATCGCCGAGATTAAACAGTAGGATAATCATATTCTAAGTCAAAAAACTTTAAAAATATATTTTTTCAAGATCCTTTAGTGCAGTTTACAATTTTACAGCCCAAATATCTTCTTACTCTTGTGGTAAAAATAATGTACTCAAACTTGAGACATTCGTTCTCCTTCAAGATTTCATCAATTTCCTCATTGTAATCGACGTTTAAGACAATGTTACGAAAGTCTTTCCTCAATTTCAAATCCATCGAATCTTCTTTAATCAACAGTGAATATATTCGAACAACCTCTACCAATGATTGTGGGGTCTAAAACAATATCAAAAAAAGTAATCTTTTATAAATATTAGGTGTTTCATTGTTCAGTTAATTCTGTGCTCCCTCTCAAAGCAAATCGTGCCCTTAACAGCAAAATTAGAGAGCACAGAACTATTTGAACAACCTAATAATAAAATTAAAAGCCAGATCTGTAAGTCCAACCTAAACTCAAAACCCAGCATAAAAACCATTTCTCCCTCTCCAGCCCAACACCCTTTGGCCGATATTACTTACGACGTCTTCCGAATCCAAGTGTTTACGAAAGTAGTCCAGGACAAATCTCGGTGATTTGTTTTTAAAATTTTGTAAAATCCAATCAAAGTCTAAATTCGGTAATTGATTTATCAATTCCATCGCATTTTCAGGTGATTTCGGCGCCAACCAATGTAAAGTATCTTGTACTAGCTCTGGATTGTCCAAACTGAAACAGGCACATCATAAAAGCTATTTTTTAAACTATTAATTTGCTAAAGTTATATACAACACAGTAATAAAAAGCAAAATATTACGCAGTTTACAGTAGTAAACAACAAAAAATCAACTTACACCGTTCCCAACCTAAACATCAGTCCATCAAAGTCAATATCATCATCTGTTTTGTCCGAATAATCCCTCCAAATTTCAAATCCTTCACTTAACAGACCATTCTCAAAGCAAATCTCAGCCGCCAAGCTGTGATACCCGTTCTCCAGAATCCATTCCCTCAATTCATCGTCAAACAACATGCTTTCATTCAGATGATCTACGTCAACTTTATCCATGAGTAACTCCAGTCTTATCAAGTATGACATTACTTCTCTCTTCACTTCATCTTCTTCCTTTTTTGACATATAACTCTCCAAGAACGACTGAATTTCTTCATTATCAAGCTTAATTTCTTGGAAGATCATCTCTTGAGCAGCATTAGTGTTCAGTCTTGGCACTTGTGACAATATTATGATAGGATCTGCATCGGATTCAAAAAATAATTTTAGACCTGCTTCAGTTTTCCCTTCTTCAATGTATTTTAGAGCAGTTTTCTCAATGAAGGATTGGCAAAACTGAAATTAAAACGTTGATATAAGTTGTTATTCGCTAATGATTAATATGTTAAATCTTTAGTTTACCTTTTGAGCTTTCTCATCATTAACCAAAGTCTTTTTAATCGTTTCTAAAGCTTCTAGCCCTTTCTCCCCGTCTTCTGCGTACAGATTGTGTACCTAAAGATTCAGATTAATAATGACAACTCAATAACATAATAATGTTTGAAGACCTTTCCTTTAAGAAAAAAGTAGTTTAGAAACATAAACTTATCAAAAAATTTTAAATAACCTACCAGCTTTTCATAATCAGCTACAACAACTTTTGAAGCAACTTTATCTCCGCTGAGAACATAAATGTCATTTTCAGTTGATGTAATGTGAGTCAAATTTTCGGTTGCCAATGATTCTTTGAAGTTTTCGTCATTCAAACTGTAATATTATAAAATTAATAATTAAACATCAAAACAAGTAACATTTGAATTAAACATCAACATCAGTAACATAGAACTATCTAAAAAAATCAAAAAATGTAAGTAACCTACTTGTATATGTGTAGATGAGAATTGCCAATAACATATAGCAAAGGCTCTTTGTATTCTAGACCAACAACATCAGTTTTAGTTGTTAATGGAGGTCGCGTAGCCGTTCCTTTTGCGTTAACAAAGATCAGAAGACCATCGTCGGCTGCGATACAATATTCATTCTAAAACAATATAGTGGTAAAATTAAAATCCATTCTAAAATATAAAAATATAGTTTCAAATTATCATTGGTTTTTTTATAATCCACAAAAACAAACTTGTAAACTATTAAAAGCTTCTGAAACCAAAAAAACATCAATAAAACAACTTACTTCTCCAATTGCCTCAATAGAAGTTGTTCCAGTAGTTGATATCAGCTCATGATGCTCCTTAGAACCACCATCCAACTCCAATACATAATAAGTTTGATCCAGAGCGTAACAGATGCTATCGGCGTTAAAACACAAATTCTCCACATTACCATTAACAGTAATCTTCTTCACAATATCAACTGTTACTTCTCCTCCATGCTGATGACGTTTGCACAATAATATACCTTTTTTGTTTGTTGATACAGCAAACAACAACTCTTGTTCTTCAGATGACTCTTTTTGGCACACTGCCAATGATATTACAGATCCCGATCCAGTCGTTGCTAGTAACTGTAAAATCAAAATTGAAACAGGTTACAGCAAGTTAAATTTTACAATATTAACCTTGATTATTAAAAAATGTAATGTTAGCTCACAGTCATGGTGCTTTCAGTAATATGAACAATTCCGTTATCCACAACAGCCATTAAGAGATCATGTGATTGAACATAGACAAGTTGTTTGATGGTATCTTGCTAAAACCTAACTTTTCTTACACCTCAAAACACTATTATTTAAACCAGCTAATGCTAAATACATAAATTTACTCACGTTTGACAGTAAAACACTCTTGTCGTAAACCAATTGATCGTTTTCCATTCGACATCTGATCAACTTTCCTTTGTGTGTACCAAACAATAACTTTTCTCGTGTTCCAGTAAACGCCGTTACCTAAAACATAAAAAAAATTTAAAAAAAAGACTTACAGGATCATCTGTAGACTTTTGTCCAAAGTTTGCAACAACTTTAAGGTCAAACAAGTCCATATTTTTGGTATTTTAAAGTGATAACAAGTTCAACCGTCCATAAATCTCTTCAATACATTGTTGGATCAGTGTTAATCAAACTAAAATTTATTAGACTAAAAACTGTATTTTAAAACAATATTTTTAGCTTGTTATTTTCCTTGTACCTTATTGTTCATAAGGTTTGAAGAGAAATTTGTCAAAAATTTTTCTTCGGATTTATTTATTTTTCGCGACGTGCGTCCAAAACGGCGCTGGAGAAAAGACAAGTTATACGAAGGAGGTTTCCCAGCGTTTGCCTACGGCGGGGTCCCGTCCGCCTATTTTGAGAATTGGTCAGCTTTCCTTGATTTTTTGTGCCCGGGGTAGGATTTTTGGGATGTATTTTGTTTTTCTTGTGTTGCTTTATGGTTTTGAAGTTAAAATCTATAAATTTTTGTTGTTTTTCAAGGTTTTTGGCTGATATTTTGAGGATTGCCGTTCTATTTTGTCGCATTTGCTGAGTTGTTACGCTAAATTATCTGGTTTTGGTATTTATTTTTCAGAATTAACCATTAATCTTGTGAATTAACCATGGCATCTGGACCGGCAGCTTCATTGGGCGAACGCATGGACCTGAACAAGACTATGAGCTTGAACGCGATGATCCTGAAGCAGAGAAACATTCCTGCTGGAAGTCCGCAAGCTCCGGTGCTTGAACCTGGAACATTGGGAGCTGCTGATGAAGTTGGAACGAACGTGTATCCCGTGAACATCAACGATAAGACGATGGTTTACTTCTACACCATCAAAGTTGAAGTGAGTATGAAGCCGGAAAACGTGGAGCGTTGGCTTGATGTTACCAAAGCAGAACGTCGGAACGAGTAAGTTTGCTTTTTTTTATATTTTGATTATTGTTTTTGAACTGTCAGCTTGTTCTAGTGTGAAAATAGTTTGAAGAATTTGAATTTATGGATTTTGTGTTATTGTAGGTAACAACATCAATATTTTTGTTTCTTTTGATCAAGTGTTATATAGGCTTAGGAAAATAAGTTGTGTTTTGTAATGTTTTGGAGTTTTTGGTTTAATTTTGACTGAAACTGTTCTTGTTTACTTGTTTTTGATCTGACAATTTATTTAAATTTCTTTTTGATGTAACTTTTATTTAAAATGAGTTAAAGGAGCAAAATTTCCGGAGCTTATAGTCTATTTACTTTGTCAGCTAAAGTATAACTCGGATTTTTAAATTTTGATTTTTATTCGATATTACAGTAGTTTTATTATACCTCTTTTTTTTTGAAATTTTTTATGCAAAAGTTGCATAAATAGAAAAATAACAATGTTACTTGTAGGTGTTTTTTGTATAGATTTTTGAATATTAGCAAATTCGTTATTTTGTTAGTAAATGTTACATATTGGTCATTTTGAATCATTTTAGAGTGGAAAATCGCAATTTGTTGCGTTTGGCCTACGATGTCTTCGGATACGCTCTGCCTCACATTACCAGTGTCATTCCTAATCCAAATATGGTTGCTTATGATGCTCGAAGGTCTCTGTATGTCTTCAATCAGAAGCTCTGTATCAGTGGAGATGTAAGTTGGTATTTTATAGTTTTGTTTTTACTCCTTTTGAGGTTATTTCGGACATTTAATAATGAATATAGTAATAAAAATAATGAATTTGGCTTAAAGACTAATTTTCTGGTTTTCAGAAGGAACTGATTGTCAAGTTGGAGGAGGATCTTCCACTTCAACGACCATTCCGGTCCGCTCGTATTACCATTTCTGATTTGGAGCGTGAAGCGTGCTTGGGTGATCCCAACAGTCCACACATCCAGTCGGTGATCATGGCTATGGAGACATTGTCGAGTCAGGGATTCATGAAACGAGAGAAAGAACATTACTTCTTCTCACCTCAACAAAGTTACCCCGCCAATCCTGAGAACTACAACATTCCAAGCAGCGAACATCCGAACATTGGAGCTCAATGTGAGGCAGCTGTGGGTATTCAGAAGATCTGCAAGTATGTCAAGGCTGGAGGGACGCCGATGTGGGCTGCGGTTTTGAAAAGTGAGTGAATATGAGATTGAAAATGAAGGATTTCAAAAAATTTAAATTTTTTCTTAATAAATGACTTGAATTCATTAAAATTTTATGATAAAAATATTGATTTTAACTTTTTAGTGAAGAAAACCCCTTTCTACTATCCAGTTGCCGTCATTGAGAAGATTAAAGACGCTTTTCCGGACCTCTACCGCAATCCCCGAGTAGACATGCTCAACGAACTCAACGATGTTCTCCAAGGCTTGCTGGTTCAGCCCATTCACCTACCTAAAGGTTGGCCAATCCAAATCAGAGCGATCGTTCCCGAGAATGCGCGTCAACGCAAGTTCAGTCTTCAGTCGGGTCAAGCAGTATCCATCGAAGAATACTATCAACAACGTTACAATTTCAAGTTGGAATTCCCTGAACTTCCATTGGCCGAGGTCAAGAACGGAGAGAATTTCAGCTATCATCCTCTGGAACTGTTGACTCTTTGTGCTGCACAAAGGACTAAGCCAAGACATTTGCATCATGTCACCGCCAACTTGATCAGGGTAGGCCTTGCTGTTTTTCATTTGTTTTGCTTTAGGGGTGGGGGATATGGTGGCATGATTTGTTTTTAAAAATACGTTTTAGGTATGTGCCAAGCTTCCGTCTTTCGTGAAGAACGCTTTGCCATCTGTGCGCAAGATGTTCCATTTTGAAGAGAATTCGCAAATGAAGGAGCTGGAAGTTGAAGTCTATCCTCAACCAGCAAGTGTAAGTTTTGTTTTCTAAAGAAGTTTTTTAATTTTTAAATTAAGTCGGTTTAAAATTTTTAAACTTAATCAGATTATAACTACAAATTTGATTTAGATCCCTGCTCGTCGTCTTCCGAACCCAGGATTGAGATACAAGAACGTTGACATGCCAGTTGATGTTCATCAAAGCACTTGGAAGACTGGAAACTTTATCAAATGTGCTCAAGAAGTCAAGTGGGCGATATACGCTGTGATCAGAGGTGGCATGAACAAGGATCAATTGGTTCAATTTGCTAAGGACTTCATGCGCTACAGTGGATCCAAGGGAATTGAACTGATGGAGCCTCTGGAATGTCAGATACACAATTACGAATCGAACCAGAAGATCGAGAACATGATCAGAAGAGCCAAGGAGCTGGGCAAGTGCAACTACGTTCTCTTTGTCACCGACAAGGCCTTGAAGATTCAAGGTAAGTTTTTCTTTTGATGGAGTTAAAATGCGTTCTTTTGATAATGAATGTTTAAGTCAAAAATATTTCTTAATACTTGAAAAAGATTTTATTTAAAATATCATTTTAGACCCCATCAAGAAAGCCGAACAGCAATGGGACATTATCACCCAGAATGTCACTCTCGACACCGTCAAGAACATCATGGGCTGGAAGGGAAAACCTCCAAGCAGGTTGACTATGGACAACATTGTCTCCAAGTTCAACACTAAACTTGGTGGACTGAACTACAATGTTTGCCAACTTCCCGAGCAAAAAGTGATGGGAAAAGACGATCTCTACATTGGACTCACATTCTCATTGCCAGCCATTGGTGGAGTTGAAAACAAACACAGCAACGAGAAGGAAACCAAACCTCAAGCTACTCCAAACGTTGTAGCTTACATGGCCAACGATTTGAAGGAAACTGACACGATTGGATTCACTGGAGATTATGTTTATCAGAGTCCCGATGTTCAACAGATTCGTCTGCCAATCATTGAGAAGATTCTGACAGAGGTTTGCGAGAGATTCGTCAAGAATCGTGGAGGTAAACCAAAGAGAGTCTTCTTGTTCCGTTATGGAGTTGCTGAGACTTTCTATGAAATGGTAAGTTATCTTTTATATTGTTTTAGTGTTAAAAAATGATTATACAAAATTTTTTAGCAGGAAAGCAAAAATACTTTGATATTTGAAGGTTTTTTATCAGTTTTACCTATTTTTAAACTTATAATTATACTTTTTCAGATTCTGACTCAAGAAATTCCTTTTATCAAGCACGTTCTCGAGAAACTTGGCCTTGGTAACTTGGTCTACATTGTGGCTTCACGCACTCACAATGTCCAGTTCTTCAGATCAAAAATCACCGGTACAAAGCCTTCCGAACAGAATCTTCCGTACGGTATGGTGATGGACCGTCTGATCGTGAACCACAAGTACTCGGAGTTCTACCTTCTTCCCCATACGGCTCGTCTTGGTATGGCTCAAATTCCACGCTTTGCTGTCTTGTTCAATGATGCCAGATGTGACATGGACACGATCCAGATGACTACTTACTGTTTGTGCTTTGCTCATCAGATTGTGGCTACATCGACTGGCTTGCCAACTCCAATTTACTGCGCTGAACAATTGGCTGACCGTGCCAGGAGGAACTGGAACAGTAGATCTGGCGAAATTATGTAGGTTTTTGCTTTATATTAAGGTTAGGATTTGGTTTGTGGGATGTTTTGGATTAGGGTGGGCTTAAAATCCTTATTTTTTGATTAATCGGGTTCACGAGGAGTTTTATTACCTAAACTAGCATTTTTATGTTGTAGTATATATAGAATTCATTTTTCAAATTTCAGTGACGCTGCTCTTACGAACAATGACTTGACTGGTGTTGATATGTACGATCATGTTACCATGCACTTGGGACACCAGCGCCGTGCCATTCTGCGTGACGTTCGGTTCAATGCTTAGGTTTAATCACATTTTATGGTTTCTTTTTGATTTTTTTATTTACAGTACTATTTCAGATTGTATTACTTTTATATTTTAGTACTTCCTAGCTACTCTCTTTTACAGTACTAGTTTTTATCTTCTTTGTACTGTCTTACACTTTATACAGTACTCATTATTTATAACCTTGATCTCGATTTTAACCTTTTTTAACTGATAACGATCTCTAATTAATATATTTGGTTCACTTTATAACGTATTTACTGTAGTATCTTTACATTAGTTTGTTTTAGCGTGCTATTGTATTATAGGTTTCTTATTTTGTCTCTAACTAGTTTATCTACATTCCTAACATTCTAATCTACCTAATTTAACAATAAAGTTAACTGTCAATTTGGTTGGTTTTTGAAGTAACATTGTTAAATATTTGATCATTAGTATCTACCTATATATCTTTGTTTATATATAGTACATACCTATATGGTTTTAGGGCAGGGACGTCGTTTGGGGGGGTGGTTCGGGGTGACTCCCCTCAGAGCCGATCCGAAAAAATCCACAGGTAGGTACCTGTACGCGGAAAAAAGAAAAAAAATTTTTTTTGAAAAATCGGTCCACAGGGAATTTTTTCGACCTCCCCCCCCCCCAAAAAACCGTAGCGACGTCCCTGTTTTAGGGTAATATGTTCACTAGTAGTTTATTATCTCAGTCATTGTTTATTGAGTACTAATAGAGCTGAGCAATAGGTTTCAGATTTGTTAGTAATATATTTATTATATTATACTTATGTATTATCTTTTGAACATTTATTATAATTATTGTATCTATGAGGCTACATTACCATAGTAAGTGTAGCTGTACCATGCCAATATGGAGCCAAAGTTGTAGTACTTGAATACCATCTCGAGACAACTCAAGCACTGGAGACATGCGTAGAAATCTCTCGTTTCTCTTTCTTCACCTTGGTCTTACTAGTCACCAAACAACAACATACGACACGTAGCGCCGCTTTCCTATAGGCATCTATGAATGCGGCCGAAGCGAATGGGTTTATGACAGGCATGATTGTGAGTGTTATATTCATTATGTAGTTACAGGTTGTGACGAACGCCTCTGACGGCTGTAACATTACACACGCCGCCATCAACACGAACATTGGCACCATCGTTACCGAGGGTGTAATGGCCTGAAATTCGGAATTTAAGAGGTTAATTTTGATTGGCTGTAACATTACTATAATATCAGGCAGGATATCTTGGCATGTAGGGTGTAAATCTTACGCTTATTAAGATGAAGTGGTATATAGGTATAGGTATATTCTTTTTGTATCGAAAAGGGTTAAAATTGCATTTTGGGTCAAAAATGATTAAAAACCTTGATATGGACCCACCTGTACAATCAATGACTTGGCGATTTGTTTATTGACTGAATGCCATCGTGTTTTGTGATCTCGGATTCGGAATGTGTTTACCACTTTCCTAATATATATGACAATCAATATGTAGGCGGTTATGGTCACTACAAGGCCAATACCGTAGTAATGAAGACCAGCGGGGTCACCCTGTAACAAAAAATGATTAAGTTAATCTACAATGAATTGCTAAATAGATACTGAATAGTCATCTATAGACCTCATTGTAAAGGTAAACCTACACTGTCTCCAATGCCAAATATCTTGTCTTTGTTGTCCAATAAGAAACTGTTTTGAATCGTGCTTAACCTACTAGTGAACTCTTGGTTAAATGCACCATAACGAGGCAAAAACCAGTTGGAATTTAGTACAATCATAAGAACTGCACCCAGATTAGCAAATATTGCAAAGATACAAAATTGAAACGTCGTCATGATTTTTTCTCTGAAAAAGTTTACTTATAATGCTACACACAGTAGGATTACAGTAAGGTAAAAGGGTATTTACGAACTTAGAGTATCACATTTTTTACGGTGGGGGAGGTGAGGGTAGAGTATTGTAAAGTATGTTAGGGTACGGCAGAGTACGATAAGGTAGGATAGGGTATTGAATTACTCTATTGTAACGTATCTTTGACAGTGTATAACATGTGCACTAGAACTCTCATTTAATTTTTTCTATTCTCTAGTTTGCATTTTCAAAAAAATGTTGAAAATATAATAATAGTCTTTATATTATAGTAGTATTTACTCTTAATTTTGTCTATTCATCAATTTTATAAAGTTTCAAATTACTATATGGAAAAGCATTGAATAATACAACATACCACGCAAATTAAAGTCTTATAATAAAAATTTTTTGTTTTTTTGTACAAAAAAAGTATTAAGCGGAAATGTAAGCATTTTTTTGTACTTTTACTTCAAAAATCAAGATTAAACAAAATTTTAAACTACCTAGACATAAATAACTTTAACTTACTTGCAAACTACCAAATAACGATAATAATAAGACAAGGCAACTACAGCTGGCAGTGAATGAAAAGCGAATATGTAAGTGAAGAAGAAGAAGAATTGCATTTGATCCGACAACATTTGCATAAAGTAGTTGGATATAAGGTAACAGTTACCTTGGTCGATGAAGAATATCTAAAATTTTGAATTTTTGAAATTTTTATAAATTTTTTAAAATTGAAAAAAGGATTTAAATTTTGCTGCGAAAAGAATGGCACATTAGGCAGTAATTTTCCTTTTTGTCTCTACACGCCATTCTTTACGCATCAAACTAAAAAATTAGTCAAAAATTAAATTTTTGAAATTTTTTAAAGAAAATAAAAAAAAATTTAAATAATGTAAAATACGGAAAAAATCACTCAAACAAACTTACCGGCCGAGTAAAAAACGAAGTGAAAGTAACGACCCAATCGTAGATACTACTGTACATCAATATAGTTTTGTACACCTCCATCAGCTGTTCTGTCTTTTTCATTATCATATACATGAAGAAGGCGGATCCGAGTGATGACAAAACAAATACGAGTATCTCCAAGTAAAACGCATATTCGTTGTCAAAATCTGATGTTAACATGGCTGAAAGAAAAAAAATTAATGTTTTGTAATAAAAGAGTTAGAATTTGATATCAAAACGTGTTTATATTATAATGCCAAAAAAAGTTTTGGCGTTTTTTAAGAAAGGTTTGCACGGGCAAAAAACGACAAAACTTTTTTGACAAGTAAAAACTCTTGTAAGTAAAACTCTAAAAAGTAATTAAAATTCTTAAAAATGCCATAGCTAAAACTTTTAGATGGCTTATACCCACCACCCAACCAAAAGCTTTTACTTTATTACTACCACAAGACTAAACAAGACGATATGAACATAAAGCAACCCGCAAAGTTCAATTCAAGCAGTGAATCCGGTCCTGAATACCCAACGAAATTCGTTTTATTCAAACACTCATTACCACCAATTGTAAAGTAAATTAAAATAAGGTCTGAAGTTGACTTCAAAAGGAAATTTACAATCAGTCAACATACATTACTTTATAGGCGCAAAGTATGTTCAAAAATTGTTAAAAAATAGTGAAATCATGGAGAAGATTGGGCTGACATATAAATGCTATATAGAATTGAAGGAGTAAGGTGGATAACATGTGAATTACATATGGAATAAGTGTTTGCAAAAAAAATTTTTTAAGGGCCTTTAGGGGGGTAGGGTAGGGCAGCGCAAGGCAAGGCAACGTAGCACAGGGTAAATCAATGTACAGAACGGTAATTTAAGGCCCAGGGAGGAGGCAAAAAGGTAAAAAAACCCTTTTTGAAAAACTTATTCTATTATTTTTTGTTCATCCCTATTCAACCCCCCTGACTCTAAAAATAACCCTTTTACAAGAATAACCCTTAAAATTGCTATACCTGCAATTCAGCTACTAATTAAAATACAAAAATTGAACGTGCGTGCTTGTCAACGAAAGTGCATACAGAATACTGTATAATCTTTAAAGCTTTTTGAACGTGATTATTATTATTATTTTCAGCAATCATCATCACGTTTGTCATAGCTACAAATTGAGTACAAATTCGTGTTTAAAAATAGGAAAAACTGTCGGAAAACATTGCTTAAACTGTGTTTCCAATAAAAAAAATTGTTTCTCAAAGGTCAGGATGCAAACATAAATTTTTAATACTATTAATAAAGCATAATATACTGTAATATGCTCTAAATATGTAAGAAAAATCTAAAAAATATAAAGTTTGAAAAAGTTTTAAAATTATTAAACGCTGATTGTCTGGGTCGTTTTCAAACCAATTGTCCTCAAAATAATACAAATACTAACAAAAAACACTTGAAAGTACATAAAATATAATACAAATAAGTAGCTACTTAATTTCACTTTTTGCTGATTCAAATACTTTTGGTATATTAACTAATCGGGTTAAGCTTAGAAGATTACTTAAAACTCTAATTGTTATGACAAATTATTTACTTTAATAGTATTTAGTTTTTTGCAAAGTTTAATGTTGCTTTAACTGAAAATGCTCAATATTTTAGACTTTAAAAACAGGGTTAGCCGGTAAAAACTCGCTAGAAAAAAAATTTTTAAAAATGGCTAAAAAATATTTTGTAAATTTAAAAAAAAAATATAGCGCCAAATAGCTGTGTATGTATTTTGTCGTATACGGTGGATAAAAGAGTTCGAATGTAACTACTAACTATTCCTATTGAAATTCTAACAAATTATCTAAAAAAAATATGTCGAATAACAAGATAAAGTGCAATAAATAGCGAATTTAGTTCATGAATATAAGCACGAATCCTGTTTTGTAGCCATACGATAAAATATCGATTGATGTATAACAGAAAAACAATAGGTATTACGTGCTAAACTGGAAAAATCTTAAACGGTGAAAAACATAAAAAAAATAAGCTGTAAAATCAGTTTTAAAATTAATTAAAAAGGCTTCTATCATCAAAATAAGCTATGAAAACGCTCTTTGTAGTAAAATGCAACTTTTTCAGTAACGTGTATGACAATCTACCTTTAAATACTACAATAAAATGCACCAAAATCTAGACTTTACTACTGTAGTTTATGTACTGTAGTTTATGAACTTTAACGTGTAAAATCCATCTTAAAACCTTCACCCTCCCTCAACTTTGCAAAATGCAAAAAAATATAAAAATTTTAAAAAAATAAAAAAATATAGTTTCTAGAAACTGTGACATTCTTTTTACGTCAAATCAGTGTCGTCAAAAACTAAGTCGACAGTGGCACGAAATGTAAACGAGAAAGGATAGTTCTTTGAGGTTCGATGTAATAATACGGTTCGTGCGTAAGGTAATTTACTTTTCCGGGGCTTTACTGTAACTTCGTTAAAAGGTATAATGTCAAGTGTTTTTTGGCATAATATAATTTATAATGGCATGTTCTTTTTATATAGTTACTATTCTTAAAAAGGCTATAGTAAGGATTACATGTGTCTCAAATACCAATTTCTAATTTCCTCTTCTGGTGTGACACTTCTTTGAATACAGTAGGTACAAGATATTGTATTCCTTGCAGTCTTCCAATAGTTTTGAATACATGAAGCTGCTAGTAAAGGGTTGAGAGCTGGCATTATTATCAATAAAACATTAGTACATACGCTAAGCCAATAGACAGTAGCAGCGTTCATTTCAAATAAAGCAAGACTTCCCATCGTGAAAAAGATTGGTGCTACTGTGAGGGATGGGGTTATGGCCTAAAACTTTTGATAAAGTTTTCAAAATTAGCATATTTACTATGTGTATTTTGCTGATACACAATAAGTATTAGGTGCCAACATAAAGAACCCGCCATGCTTGGCCTGTAATTTTATCTAAAGTATGGCGGGTTCTTTATGTCGGCACTTAATATATATATGTCACGTAAAATACGATGGAGAGTAGTAAACCTACTTGAACAATAAGTGAATTGGCAACTTGTTTGTTGACAGAATACCAAGTTGACTTCTCGTTCCTTATCCGAAATGACTTTATCACTTTTCTCGCAAATATGAAAATTACAGAGTAAGCTATGCAATAGTATATCACTCCAATCGTGTACAAAAGTGAAGCAGCAGCGAAATTACCCTGTAAGTTAACATTAACACAAATTTAATATTAATTTTTTATTTTTTTTTGTTATAATAGGTTGAACCTAAAGTAGCGGGACACTTTATATTTAATTTTCAATTAAAACGTGTCCCGCTACTTTTGGTTTAACCTGGTATGTACAATACGAAACAGTCTAACACTTACAGGTTCAGCAACAAATATCAAACGTTTTTTTAGTAGTTTAACTATTGGGTTCTTTGCTCGATCAACTAATAAGTTTAGTCTGCCTTTGTTCTCTGGGTTGTTCGTGGTAACATAAATATGTGTGCCAATACACATAATTATAGGGCCTACATACAAAAATAAGCCAAATGCAAAAAATTGAAATGTTGTCAAGACTTTGTTTCTGAAAAATCACCCAATGTATTGCAAAGTAAGCCGTTTATAGCAGTTCTTTCCTGTAAACGTAAAAGTAGTAAAAAGAAGGTTACTGGACCCGGCCTGACTCTTTACAAACATTAAAGCCTAATAATAGAAAACTTCGGATAAACTTACTGACAAACAATCAAATGTCGATAAATGTAAGAAAAAGCAACTACGCCAACGAAAGCGTATATCAGAAAGTCGTATACATGATAACCAAGCAGTTGTGTGTTTAAAGAAAACTTCTCTGTCAATGGATTAGAAAAGGCATACAAGTAGCCTTTTTCTAGTACAACATACTAAAAAATAAAAATTTACTTTTATATACGAGGACTAAATTTGTCACTTAATGTTTTCTCAATGAAAAGATGGTAAGTAGAAGCTAGCTGAAGAGATTTACTTTTTGCTGACTTCAGCACTGATCTTCAGCTCTACCTCTTGAATTCTAACCCTGATACAACAATATAGAGCCTAATTGATACACCTGTACCAATGACTTACCGGTCGCCAAAAGTAGGAAAGAAAAGTCAACGCCAGATCATGCAAGCAATTGTAAAACAATATGATTCGATAGCATTCCATCTCACTTTCAGTGTGATATGCGATCATAAACAAGAAAATGCCATTTCCAAGTAGAGAAAATGCAAAAATTATTGTTTCTAGTGTTTGTGTGAAGTATAGGAAGTAAAACATATCTTTGTCAATACTCACTTGTCATAACCTTTTTATACTGGTTAAAAAATTATAACGTATAATTTTGTAAAATAATGAATACTATGCTACTTCCTGTTAGCGTTGCTGTTCAAAATTAAAATAGGAAACAAAAAACGATAAATGGCATTTAGAATTGTAAGAAATACTTGCTTATTACTGTGCTGATTTAATGTAAACCTAGAATTTGTTATTTTATGTCACAAGCAACAAAAGAAATACGATACAGTTGAACTCCTGTATAATATTGTTTGGGGATTTATAATAGAAGTTATTTGTTATACAGAGTTTTCTTTTCAGAAGAGTTCGGTGTACAAAAGTTCTCTGTACGTGGTTTTTTTATATTATTATTATCTGAAGATACATATTATATACATAGTATAATACTTATGTCAAAAAAGACACGTTAATTCTGTGTTTATATGCCCTTTCTACAGCTATAAATTAAAAATATCTTGTACAGTTGAACTTCTGTATAACAAACAACGTTTACTTCTTTGATCGACGCTACACAATGCTTTAAAGTTTTTGAATATTGAAACTCCATTATAGAGAAAAAATTAAAATTTTCAAACGATTAGTTATGTAAGATATTACTGTATTTTTCAGGTTAAATGCGTTTCATTTTGCCATTTCTACGTTTATCTTTCCGTCTTGAAGGTGATACACCTTCATCTCAGTCCCCAGGATTTATAGTACTAAAATACGACATTTTCAGGCACAAGATCTATTATAAATTCGCTCCGTCTTTTTTTATAAATTTCAGCTCCGATTCTTTCTACAGATCTAGAGCCTGAAGCTGCCCAAGGTTCGGAGCCGGCTTTGGAGCGCTTAGAAACATTGGGTGTAACACTAACACTTCTTCTGTAAAACCAATACGTACAAAAAAAGTAAAATTATATATTTGCGATTTTAAAATTAAAAAAAAATTAAAAAAATGCTATTTTTAATTACTATGTTCTATATGATAGTTATGTGCTCCTCAAATCGCTGACTCTGGTCCCATCTTCAGGTGTAATTCGGCCGCCATCCAAACAATACGAACAGAATATTATCTTTGCCGCCGTTTTTCGATAATTGTGAATACAGGAAGCGGCCACAAACGGGTTGATAACTGGCATGACAGTTAATATAAAGTTGAAGGCAAAACTTGACCAATAAACAATATGAGGGCCAGGTTTGAAAATGACACAAATGGCTAATGCGAAAAATATTGGTGAGATTGTTAGGGATGGGGTAATCGCCTAAAATATTTTTTTTTGAAAAAACTTGAAAATTTTGTAAAAATTTTTAGAAATAAATTACGGTAAACTTCCTGCATAACAATTCTTTGGGCATATTAAGTTTGTTCTTTATAAAGGAGTTTGTTATACAAGAGTTCAACTATAATAAAGCTTTCCACAGCATTAACTGTAAGTACAATGCGAAGATTAACATTACCTGAATAATGAAAGAGTTGGCAACCTGTTTATTAACCGAGAACCATTTAGTTTTTTCATTTCTTATTCGAAATGATGTCATTACTTTCTTAGCATAAACATAGATCACTACATATGCCAAGCAATAGTAAGTCATACCAGCTACATACACAAATGTGGAGTATGGATTTGTCTAAAATGTGTACTTTACTTTGTTACAAGCTGCATTGGCAATACTTATAGATAATTGAAGTAGTATAATGGAAAAGCCAAAAATGATCTAAGAAAAAAACAAAAAAACTTTTTTGATTTTTGATTTTTTAAAGTTTAAATTTAAAAATTTTTCAAAAATAAAACAAAAGTCTGCTTTTAACAAGGCAGTAAAGTCCAAGTATAGCTTTGTATACTCATTGTATAGACTTACCGGTTCTCCAATAAACACCAAGCTCTCCCTCAATACTCTCAAGTCCGTATTAATCGATCGGTTGATAAAGAAGTCTAACTTTTCTTTGTTTTCCGGACTGTACGGAGTAATGTAAAAATGAGTGCCAATCACAATAACCATAGGTCCAACATAATTGAACAAACCCAATGTGCAGAATTGGAAATTCGAGAGAATTTTGTTTCTAAAAATTTATTTTAATATACAAAAAATTTGCATTATAGTTTGTCAATTAAAAAAAAATTTTTATTGTAAACTTTAAAAATTTTCAAAACTGACAGTAAACTTACTTGCAAACAATCAAGTAACGGTAAATATACGAAAAGCCAACTACAGCTACTAATGAGTGCACTATAAATATGTAGGCGTAGTAAGCAAACAGCTTTACGTCGAGAGAAAACACGTCTGTCATTTGGTTGGAAAAGACAAAAATGTAGCCATTGTCTACTACAAGGTGCTAAAAAAACTTTTTAAAATTTTTCGAAATTTTACAAAAAATATTAAATTTAAAATTTTATTTTTAAAAAAATAATAGTCTAATTTATATTTACAGTAATGTAAAATACGCTGCAATATTAAAGCCTACCAAAACGTCTCATTTTGATTAAAAATTTCCAAAAAATGACTTACCGGTCGACAAAAGTAAGAAATTAAAGTCAATGCCAAATCATGCAAGCAATTGTAAAACAATATGATCCGATAACATTCCATCTCAATCTCAGTGTGATATAAGATCATAAACAAGAAAATGCCATTTCCAAGTAGGGAAAATGCAAAAATTACGCTTTCCAACGTTTCTGTGATGTACAGCAGGTCTATCATAATATAACTAGCTCAGTCTAAAATTAATGTAAAATATCTAAAACTGTTTTACCAAAAGATGCTTGTAACATAGTCGTAATAGTCGTATAGGCTTAAATATTTAAAAATAGTATATTTTCAAAAACATAATTTTTCGTATTTTAAAAAAAATTTTTACCCAAATTTTTATACTATTTTAAGTACGTGCCAAACCGTGCAATTAGACCTTCGAACAACATATGATACGTACCTTCACATTCGTGTCAATGTTTTACTAAATATTAACCTAAAAACCAAAAATTAAAAAAAAATATTTCTTGTAAACAGTCAAAACATATATAAAATGAGCTTTTTCCAATTTTATCAAATGAAAAAAAGTCTTGTCGTATTTTACCCTGAAAAAGCGTGATAATTAACGATAAAACTTTTCTTGACTTGAAAAACGTAAAATTTAGGAAAATATATGAATATAATGGAAAAGCTACTCAAACCTACAAACCAAATACAAAAAAGGTTTGTTTGCTTTTGTGTTATTATCTTTTACATCAACAACTAATAATTTATCATTAGCATTGCCATAATAATAACACGGTATCTACAGTTTCTTACATATAAATTTAGAAAAAAACCTTTTTCGCACCTTTAAATCATATATTTTTTTTCAAATTAAGTTTCTGAAACAAACTACTTGAATCGCTATCCTACTTGTGCAAAACGGGGTAGAAAAAGAGTAGGGTAGTTTAAGGCCTACTATAAAAGTATTTTGGTAAGCGATAAGCTGAAATACGCTGTAACATGACTTATCATTCGCGTGATGTTAATGATATTTTGAAACTGGAAAACATTTACTAAGCAAAGTAACCTCTAATCCGAAAGTTGTTACCTAAAACCTCACAGAAAGTTATAATTATAATTGCTGTGTAAAGCTGTTACAACAACAGTAACTCGATTGCATGGCAAGCTCAGATTGTGAGTAAAAAAGGATGTAAAATGCATTATTTTGCTTACTAGTATACATTACACAGTCACATTGAGCATTTTATGTTATAGTTCCTCTTTTTTGTGGCAATCTGTGAGGTCAAAATAGTCATGACTTTTTTTATCATAGAAGTTTACAGAAATTGACGTAAAAATTTTTTAAACAGGTAACCTTAAAAACTTTGCTTTAAAATTAAAAAAAAATTTAAAAAATGCCTAAAGTTATTTCAAAATAGAAAAAATATCCAAAATCCATAAAAAATAATATTTACTGTAAAATTTAAAAAAATTAGACACAACCTTACAACATTTTAAAAATTAAAAAAAAATTATTATGCTAAGACAATATTAAACTGCTTTTAAATGCTTTAAGAATATTATACAGACTGTAACATTGATAGTTATTCATTGCGACAAACTATTATGTACCTTAAAAAAACATTTAAAAAAAATTTAGGTAACAAAAATGACAAATAAGTAAGAAAAACAATATTTATTAAAAAGACATCAAAAATGACATACTTCTTTTAAAAAAATGTTAAATGACATTAAAGTAACATAAGGGTAAAGCTAAGATATTAAAGCTGATGCTTAAAAGTTGTTTTTAAACTTTTGACTGTGAGAAAAGTACAAGTTTTGACAAAAAGCAAGACAAAGTTGAACAAAAAACAATGTCATAACATATTTTTGGCTACTTTTACAATAATGTACTAGTACACTTAAGTAAAACCGGGGAATGGACTGCTATTTACAAATTATGGTAGACAAGTCATAAAGTCGTTGTTGATAAGAGCTGCAAATCAAAATTTTTAAAGTTTATAAAAATTTCAAAAATTAAAAATCTTTAAAAATCAAAACTTTCAAAAACTCATTTTTTTTAAATTTAAAAATCCAAAACTTCAAAAATTTAAACCATCAGCTCATTCAGCCGCAGCCGGTACAGCTGGAGCAGCCTGTTGGACGGAGAAACGACGTGGACGGTCGGCTTCTTCCATAGAGCTGGACAAGGTTCGTTGTCTTTCCATGCCCGGAATTGCCACGCCACTCAGCACGCCACACCCTTTGCACAGTAAAATCAATGATCTAGCCAGATTGTCAGGAGCTTCGGCCATTACATCGCTGACATTGTCCACGACCAACAAGGTCGTCTTCTTCTTGTTCATGTTCTTGTGAGTGTTGTAGACGGTGTTGACGTGAGGAGCTCGAGAGCCGGTGACTAGGAGGGCGTCAATTCTGAAAAAGACGTGATGATTCGGTAAGAAATGTCATACAGTAAAACCTTTTTTATATGACTCTCGATAGTATGACACATTCTTTATAAGGACAACCTTCTGATCTTCCTTTGTAACAGAACTTTTATTAAAAACTACCTAGATATTGTGACAAATAGGTAATATTGAAACTTTAATCAAGTCCTTTGAGTGTCGTACTAGCCTAGTTTGACGGCGTCTCAAAATACCAACTTACGTATCAAGCTTAGCTCCCAAAACAGTTGAGAAATCAGTACGTTTGCTGAAGGAAAACAAGTATTTGGACAAGTTTTTGGGGTTCAATGTGCCTTTCAACTCATCAATGTAAGCTTGTTTGTCTTTCTTGTTGTTCTGAAAATACTATTTTTGAAAAAAGTCAAATGACCATATTTTACTTCATTTTTGTAGTGAATAAATAAAAGTTCTTGCCATGCTTTGTTTTGTAAAGAAAGTTCTTGCCATTTTTAGATTTGTAAAGAAAGTTCTTGCCATTTTTCTTTTTTAGGGCATTTTGTGGTCCTCTAAAGGTATAAGACAATCTTAAAATATTTAAAAATCTTTTTATAATAGTTCTTTACAAAAAACAATGTCAAAACTTACATTTCCAAGCTTGTGCATGACCAAAAGTTCCCACGCTCCGTCAGTCATGACGTCATTTTCAAGACGTAGGTTGATCATCTACAATATCAACGAAATTATTTATTTTCAGTATAACTAATTATAGCTTTGACTCGGTTGTTCAAAAAGTAATGAGCCACCATAGAAATTTTTAAAAAATCATAAAACTTTTTTTTTCTTTTTGCATTTAAAAAATTATTTAAAAAAAATTCTTTTAACAAACCCATCACTTTTCTAATTTTTTTATACCCAAAAATCATTTACCTTATCCTTGAAGTACTCGAAAACGCCAGCCGTAGTAGAAGTACAGTGCAGTAAGACGATTCCATTAATTCTATTCGGAGCCTGTAAGGCAAACCGACAAATAATATTGGCTCCAGCTCCTTCGCCAAAGGCAATGCAAGACCTGACATCCAACTGATCCAATGCCACTACAAGGTCTTCGGCCAAATGAGCCAAAGTCGGAAAATCCCCAGCAAAGTCAGGAGCATGGTCTTCTTGGCCGGGTACACAGACGTGCAAGAAGACAGCGTTCTTCTTCACTTCAGCCATACTGGCGTGATCAACGAATCGGACAAATGATTTGTCTAGAATTTTGAAATTAAGTTTCAAAAAGAAAAAAGTTGTAGCGAGCTTTCTGATAGTACTATATAGTACCATTATTAAAAAACAAAAAATTGTTCTATCCTTAGTATAAACAATAATGCTATATAGTACGAAAATTTTAAAAAACATTTTTTTTAAACTTACGGTTAGTGCCAACATCATGAACGGTCAATATGACAGTTTTGTGGTTGCGCTCTTCCAAGTCGCCCTGGACGTAGACATTGAATTTGGAGTGTTTTCCATTGATTTCAACTTGTTTTACGTCGCTACACATTTTTTATTCGTTTTTCTAAAAAATTTTTTTTAGTTGACATTTCAATGATAGTACCAAGCAAAAATAACGTACATTTTCGTATAATAAACAATTTTTAAAACCTTGGTTAACATACGTGCACTTAAAACTTCTTTATGACAGAAAATTGAGTACATAATCCATAGAAATTACAAAAGATATATTACATAAGTCAATATAACCCATAAAAGTAAATTTAATAAAACTCCGTTATAACGAAGTCTTCCGTATAACAAGCAACATTGAAATCCTAGGCCAACTCTAGACTGTGCATTTAAAACTTCCTATACTAAAACATATTTATAAGCATCAAATCGAAAATTTCTAAGCAATTTATTATACAAAAGTTGTACTGTCTTTACTTTTTTATATCCTTTATAATGCTCATTTTGTAAGTCTTTATCAACGTTTGTCACCGTACGTCAATGAAGCTATTTTTGCAAAAGAAAACCGTGAAAAAGTGCAAAGAAATTTGGCTTCCTTACAAGTATATCAAATGAAGCATGTAAATTGTCCAATTCTTAGCTGTTGGTAAACAAATTTACACTTTTCTTTCGTTGCGAATATTTAGATATTATTTTATGTTTAGAAATAGACTTTAAAGAATTAATACTTTTAAAATACAGTAAGCCCTGTATAACGAATCAATTAAAATTTTTTTTGTTTTACAGAAATTACACTGTAGGTATGCTTAGGTTAATACAGTAAGATCCTATTTTTTCCTATAAAAGGATGATAAAATTAAAAAAACAAGCTTAAGCTGATATCAATTTATACTAAAATATACCTCCAGTCTCCTCAGTGTCATACTAATAAGATACCTACTTAACATAAGCCTCATGCTGAAAAAAACACCTTTAAAACCTCTATAATACCATATCCAAACAGCTCTAACATCCCTAAATTAATATTCCGAGTCGCGTTTGGCGGGCGCTTGATAAATCTTGTCATAAAAAATAAACTTGGGGATTTCGGTCGATAAAGTGCTCAAACATAAACGGCGGCCGAACACAATTCGAGTTGGGAAAACTCAGGAACAATTTGGCAAAAAAAGCCGGCCGCCAAAGTCCCGAGGCCGAAAAGACGGCGACGAGAGAGTACGCCTAATGGAGAGACGTTAGAGAGGAGAAGCAATTGAAGAAGTAAGTAAATGGATAAGAAGTTGGCAGAGATGGTCAGTTAATGTATGAAAAAACAAGTTATACATAAAAAAAGGGATTTTTTGAGAAGAGAGAGTGTGGACAGAGAAAGAGAGAAAAGAAGAGATGGAGGGATGTCATTTTGGAACAACTCACATGATAAAAATGGTAAAATAACAAACAAAAATAGATACTCGCAATAACAATTTCTTCTGTCGTATGACAAAACTTTATTTGAAGAGGGAAGAGTAAGAAAATAAAATTTTTGAATTAACAAAAAAAGTTAAAACACCTAGCCCTACCTACCCTAAGCCACCCTACCCTAAGTTGCCTTAACCTACTTTAATGAACTTATTTACAATATGTTACCCTAACCTATTATACTATGACTAGTAGTTTGTCCAAATATGGATGAGCTATTCAAAGAAAACAACTTTGAAAATTTTTGCTCATTCATATTTAGACAACTTGATATTACCAATATAAATTACACAAAATATCAAGTAAATATCTAAGTCTATCTTACTGTTGATCAAAGCAGCGTAAACCTTTAAATTTTTAAAAATCTGTAAAAACAAAATTTTGAAAATTTCCAAAATAAACAAAATTTTACACCTCCCCCCCCCCTCCCCCGCATTCTCATTTCTACTAAAAAACGCACCTTCTCCCCACTATTTCGACCTACTGGTTTTAAAAAATTACTTTGAAATTTATTTTTCAATACCTTCATAGCATTATGAGAAACACAAAAAATTTAAATAAATCACCCTAAAAACAACATATTCAAAGACAAAACCCAGAAGCAAAAGCAGGAAGCATGACGAAACGATGACAATGTCCGAAAGAGGGGGGTTTGAAGAGACGAGAAAAAGAAAAGACGTGCACAAATGAAAAGTGCCTGTGGCCAAAAACAAACCGTTTTCCCCTCTTTATCAAGGCCCTCGGCTTTACTCGAGTCGATTAAAGTGCTTATATTGAGCATGTTATTATGTTTGGATAAGTCTGTTTATAAGAAAGTACATTAATATAATGATAAGCTGTTCAAAAAATAATGAGCCGTAGCTTATATACGTGTATACCTATAAAAATGCTATAAATATATTATGTTCGATTATAACAAAACCTTAAAATTAGCATAAATTACCTCCAAAGAGCAATTTCTTACCATTTTTTCATTTTTATACATATATTAAGCCTAAACTTCTTAAAAAGCATTCGCCGTGCAATTTTCTGAAGCGTACACTTTAGCACGAAAGTATTTCAATTTTTATTTTTTTTACAAACTTCCGTAAACAAACGAAGGATTACTCTATACAAAACCAAAATAAACTTTCAAGTGTAAGTGTTTATACGCTCATAGTGCTGAAGCGTACTCAAAAACAGTAAAAACAGAAATTCTTGTTAATAGGCAAGGCAAGGCAACGTTATTTGTAAATAATTAAAAGATAATTTAGTAACAGTAAACATATTACTTAAGTTTAGCAGCAAAATGAGTATAGATAAAGCAAAATTTTCAAAATTTTGCGCTTTGAATGGCTCACCCATATTCGGACATGCTGATGGTAGAACCCCTGTCAAAAATGACCCAGATAGTATGACGCGCTGTTTATAAGGAGAGATCTGGGCCAGTTTCTAGAGTTTAATACTAAAAAGGTTTGAGTGTACATAGTTCTCACTCTAACTGTAGTACAGTGAAACCTCTTCATTATGAAGCTAAACATTATGCCACTCTTTTTATAATTCCAGCTTTTGACTGCTCTTTTTAAAAAACTCTTGTCAAAAAGTACCTGAATAGTGTGACACTCAACTTATAATGACACTTTGATGACTTTTTTGAGTGCCCTACTAAAGTGGTGTGACTGTAAATACTCAAAGAATATCTATAACAAGCCCTTATTTATTTATCCCCTGATGTATTTAAACTATTACAAAACAGTTGGTAATCATATAAATGCCTAATCTTTTACTTATGCTATTTATAATAATATAGAGTCTTAATATACGTTTTCTTGTTGACAGTATTTACAAACAGTCATATTAAATGCTTCGTTATTTTTATAATTATTTATAATAAGAACAGAATATGAAAGATAATATTGTTTTATGAAATTTTATAAAATTAAGAATTAAACAAGGACACAACGAGTTACAACGTATTTTACTACAAATTCAACTTAGAAAAAGTTTTTTTAAATATAAATACTGAAAAACCTTTATTACCTCTCTATTATACATTATTGTACTACACCCTTACCCTATATTACCTTCTTATCGTATGTTACCCTTCCTATCTTCTAGGGAAGATAACATATGGTAAAATATATTACCTTCCTATCCTTAAAATATTTTGTGCTCTTACCAAATCCAATATTACCCTCTCAACACCACCCTACATTACCTTTCTACCCCTCTCACCTAATACAACATTTCTCGTCCAACACTAATAATATCCATACACTTTACCAATTAAAACATCTGAACAAACCCAACTACCTAATGACAAGATTTTTGCAAAAAACAATGTCAATATTTAGTAAGGTCTAATTGATAACACGGATTAGAAAAACAAAGACTAGCTAAAAATATGTGGATAGTATAGTAAAAGGTTCCTTATGGCTCAATTAACAGCTGTCTTTTAAGCCCAAAAACAAGGACAAAAGTGGCTGTGACCTTTGATTCGAATCACGTTCTAACCAAGAAACGGTCAATTCGAGCGTGCCAATACTGACATAGGTAAATAGAAGATTCTTTTAAGAATGGGAAACGGGCCAGTTCCACTCTTGGTGTCTAGTCGAGTTAACGTTTAGACTTGTCCATGTTTCATTTTTACTCAGGCTGGCAAACACCTTTAGTTTTTAAATCTCGAAAAACCTTTAAAAGTTAAAAAAAATGTTTTTTTTCAAAGTCTTTTGTTAAAATATGCAAAAGTAGTCCAACAAACATACTGTTTTATTCATAAGCTCCGCTGACTTTTGGCTTTATAAACTCACATTTCGAATTCGAATAGTGTAATATTAAAATGAATTTAAGGGCTTATTTAAAGTTAGTCATATGATTATATAGTATGTGAATATACAGGAAATTTTCAAAAAATTAATATCAATTTATACTGTATTTACGCTTAACTTAAAAGTAAGTACCTATACTTTACCTTACCCTTCATATACTCTACTTAAACTTATCCTAAAAGTAAGTTGCTGTCAAAACATTTTGAGTACTTTTATACTGGGTACTCTCACCTTAACGTACCTTTAAGCTAAGCACACAAGTCCTCAAAACAAACAGTATAAACACAAAAAGCAGCTCTATTTATAAATCGACCAGAAGCCTTAGAAATGAGATTAAAAACAAGAACAAGCTCAAAATACTCCTTCCCTGTTTACTGCCGAAATACTTTTGCAAAACATTCCGCTGTGACCTTTTATATTGACATAGGAGTACTTTGAAGTAAACATAGGCACATGGCTTATTGTTTTCCAACGGACTTCGAAATTCGAAAAGTCCGATACATTTAGAGAATTTGATATTAAATATTATTATAAACCATGCTATAAATAGCCTGTAATACATTTTCTTAACCCTACCCTACCCTACCCTACCCTAAGGCAAACTGCTTTACCTTGCTATAGAATAACCTGCTGTACCTAACTTAAAGGACCAGTTCGCCCATTCAAATATCATTGGCATTCTGTCGCAAAAATTCGACGTTCATTTTTTTTGCAAAAAACCTGAGAAGGTCGGTCCCAAATTAGAAAATTCATTTCGACACCGACCCACTCACGTTTTTTGAGAAAAATGATTTTGATTGAAATTGCCTGATTTTCGACGCTTTTTGCGACAGAATGCCAATGATGTTTGAATGGGCGAACTGGTCCTTTAACGGCAACTTTACTTCCTTTACTATGCTTTGCTCTACTTTATTATCAACATATCTGGGTGTAATAATAATTTATTACCACTCAATGTTTCCTTATTTCGTTACCATTATATCTTGCTTGCCACTACTATACCCTATTCCAGCCATCTCCTGTCATCATCTTGTCTTACCGCTATCAAGTTTTACCCTTCTTTGCTCACTTTATACTATGCTCCGCCTTAGCTTACTAGTCAAGAGAACCACCCAATCCCAATGGAACGACTTTTGCATCATATTCACCTTCTCTTACTAGCCCTAGTTCAAACATAACAAATCTAAAAAAGATCTTTTGCTCCAAAAACAATTTTGTTTTTCGAATGTTTTTTGCTGAATCAGGCCACGCACTATTGTAAACAATTGAATGGCCAACGCTGTTCGAATGTGAACGTATTCGAATAAAAAACGTGACAAAAGTGCAATATTGGATCCCATTATTTTTGTTTTTAGGTCTGTTGAAGGAACTTTGTGGCCAAAAATATAGTGTGACCAAAAATAAACGTGTTTTTTAGCTAATCTAATTTAACCACATGAACATAATTATTTGAATAGTCATCGAAAACAACCAGAGGTATTAGTAATATTGTTCTAGCATGCATTTGAAGGTATAACAAGAAGGCTTTTGATGAGATGAACACGTGTTTTCTACTATATACAACAATTTTTACGTAAGTAATCATGATCACATCGAAAATTTTTAAACAAAAAACTGTAGCCTTCTTCTAGACCTGTAAAGCAACCGGGTATAAGGATATAATAAGCCCCTTTTCAGGTCTACCTTCTTTTCTACTCAAGTATAGTAAAAAATTTGTAATACCCTTCTCATCCTCCTCACCTCCTCCCAATACTGAAAACTTGAAATTTTATGAAGAAAGTAGAACGCTAAAATGCACTACTTTAACTAACGCAAACTACCCCTCCCACATCCCTTACAGCTCCATAAAACCCCTAACTGCCTCCACAAACCCCCAAAGGCTAAAAAATCAAAAATTAAACATCAAATGCCAAAAATAAGACCAAACAAAATAAGACCTCGAATTAGAAAAAGTCGGCTCTTCAATATCTCAACCTATTTTCTTCATTTTGTTACTCATTTACTCGACTTGCAAAATATTGTTTTCGTTTTTCCGTTGGACAATGACAGATTGAAAAGAATCTTCGGACAAATTGCCATTCTTTCTTCAATAAAGTAACAAAAACAACAATAAAATTGCGAAATTTGGCTTAAATTCAATAAATATTCATAAAAAAACAATTTTATAGCGGGAAGGGGCGGATTAAAGTGCTGTTTAGTACGCTTTGGCTAACTACATATTTGAAAAAAGTTTATTGCTAAAGTTAGAAGGATAGAAAGACTAGTTTAAAGAATCAATTAGTGGTTCAAAACAAAGTGGTTTTGAAGTCTAAAAACTTTTATGCTTATAGTTTAGTCTATAAATGGTATGGGGAGGGGAAATAGGGAAGGTTGGAACGATTTTTACTAAAAAATTTAAAAAACCCAAAGAAAAACTTTCTTCAAGGAATAATACAAATGGTCGTTCCGTATAAGGAACCTCTATATTACGAAGCCCCTGTATAACGAACAACTTTTGAATCCCCGGCTATCCTTTTACAGTGCATTTTAAACCTCTCTATAACTTAACCTCGTCATAAAAAACGAATTTTAATTCCTCTGGCGATTCGTTATACAGAGGTTTTACTGTATATAAAACCGAACTTTGCAAAAACAACACAGCTGCTTAAGAGAGAGATTTTTATAAACGGTTTGGGGCCATAAGAAAGTATAAAGTGCAAAATCTATGTCAAAATAAAAGACAAACAGCAATTTCATCAAAAAATAGTCTTGGTCGTTTAAAGTGCTACACTTTAGTGGTGCAAAAAGATATTTTTTTGCTCTAAACGTCTGTTTTTTGTCATAATAACGACAACAAGGCTATGCCAATATGGGGTTGTTTTACGATAAATCACTGGATTTAGTAATGGGTCATCCTTAAAGATACTCTGCTTTAAAGCTCTTTTAGTTAGAACCTTCGTTATGTTAACTTTAGCAAAGTTTCAAGTACAATTATCAAAGCACAGTAAGTTAAAGTACATGTTCTACTTAACACAGTAGAAAAACATTATTTACCAGACAAATACGTCATCACAAAACTATTATATGGCATTTTGAAAACATGAAAAGCGGTTTTAAACGTGCCGGAACGTTTATTTGATTTAACGCCAAATCTCATTAAGGCGACCGCCGTTTACTTCCTACGTATCCACATTTACATACCTACTTGTGCAAACATTCAAAATTGTTTTAATTTTAGTATAGATAAAAGTACACCATTTTAAATCAATAAATTTAAAAAAAAAAGATATTATGGTACTGTATAGCACATTATTTGCAGCCGAATTGACGTAGATCAAAATTTATTTACAATTCATGTACACACAACATATTATTATAGTTATTAAACAATCATGGGATCAGTAGAGATTGTGGTTCTGGGTGAGAGTGGAGGCTCACTGGAACTGGAGAAAGATCGCGAGGTTTTTCGAATTAACATTTGAACATAATGCCGAAGGCGGTTGGTGAAGGCAATAAACACAAACGCGTTTACTGTCGCCGACAACATTGATAGTACGGTGGAAATGTGAGATTGGATGTAGTCGGTTCTGGAATTTTATGGTTATTTTGTTACAGTATGATATTTTTGAAGTGTTACAATATTATGCTCTTGGCAATTTACAGTAGGATATGAATGTAAAGTGCTTTTAAGAAGCTACTGTACTACGTAATCTAGCAATTACAGTACTGTAAATACCAAAAATTGAAAACTGTTTTTGAAAAGTACTGTACTATTTTTTAAGCTACAGTATCTGTAAAAATTATATTTTTCCAATTTTTATGTTTAACACAGCTTTCGTATTTTACCTCGTAGGACACTCCTCCATCAAAATCAACTGCCATTTCCGTATCACATTATAAACTTGTAGTGAATGTAACAATAAATACAGTATAATAATCACAATGATTGATACAGTAGCCCGAAACTCTTGTTTCTGTCGTATACTGTCGGCTCGCTTCCGAAGATACGTTAATGGCTGAGTAAAGGTCAGCGACGCCTTTGGTTTAGCGACAATGTCAGTCGAATTCCGACCGGTCGATCGACTACCATAAGAGTTGCGTTTGAATCCCATCGCATTGGAAACGGCAAAGCTTTCGGGATTGAACTGTGCGTAGCCAAACTGACGACTTTTGGCTATCTCGATCAAGGTTAATATCGAGAAGACACACATCCAAACGAATGGTACAAAGTTGGATAGGATTGGGTCCAGGAAGGTGTGGTAGACTACTCGGTATGGAGATAGGAGCTGAAACTTTTATATTTTAGTTGATATAGGTTGCGAAACACTTTCTTTGATAAACCTACAACAATATACTTTTTATATAAACTCCTTACCTCAGTAGTCTCAGGTCGCCTCAAAATCCTTGGGAATGGTTTAAATTTAAATTCTAATTCAAAAAAAAAGATAGGTAATCGAAAAGCGATGATTACAGTAAACATTATTAGTAACACAGTTCGAGCGCGAGATGCGGTGTCTTTGAACCGGGAAACGACCGGTCGAGAGATCTTCCAATAGCGGTGGATTGATAATGAAGCTATCGTCCACACGTGTAGCAAATTTACCGTGCTTTCTAGGCGTGGTAATGTGTATTTTAGGAAACGACGTTCTACCATGCAATATCTAAAATGGCATTTTTTAATTTTAAAATTGATGCAAAAAGAATGGTGCATATTTAAATTGATACAAAAAGAATGGCGCAATACAAGTTTGATGCAAAAAGAATGACGCATTTTATAGTTGGTACAAAAAACGGAACATTTTGAAACTGATGCAAAAAGAATGGCGCATTTTATAATTGGTACACAAAATGGAGAATTTTGAAGCTGATGCAAAAAGAATGGCGCATATTTAAATTGATGCGAAAAAAACGGCGCGTTACAATTTTGATGCAAAATAAATGACACCAAAACCTACTGATAAAAGAGATGCTCCTTGGAATGATGCTTATCACACAATTGTGGCAACAATATGGTCGCCGACGTTATTATAATATGGCAATGGTCGAGGATCAAAAGTGCTTTCAAATAAATAAATACACCCGAAGTGATCTTGGGCGGACTGTACAGACATATCTGGAATTAAAGGGTACTGTAACATCATTATGACAAAAGTTAAAAGTTTTTGGAAATCTACGGTTAAAGGATGTTACAGTAACAAAAAGCTTATATACAGCCAACTACAGTAAATCCACTCTTATTTACCTTCCATGTCCTTCTCTATTCCCCCTAACGACGTCTCTGTTTACAGTAGAAAACAATTTTATTTACAGTACCCTAAAGTAACAAAAATGTTGCGTTATACAATACATTTCAGTGGAATCATCCCCGTTCACCCTCTCTTCCCCTCTCTTCTCCCTTAACGACGTCTTTGTCTACAGTACAAAAAAAATTATTTACAGTACCCTACACTATCAAAAACCTTATCTAAAAAAAGTTACAGTACTCACCAACGCCGAAGCATTAAAGAAAAGTCCTAAGACGGCTAATGGAAGTAAAATATATATGTTGATGGTACTCAACTGAAAGTAGAGTTCATGATCGTGCACTATTGGCTCGTGATAACATGCTGTTGAAGTGTCCCACCACGCCGTATCTGTCATTATTTTACTGAAAAGATGTACTTAATATGAGCTTATATTATAATAACAATTTTGCAAATTTTTAGAAAAATTGAAAAGTGTTAGTTACCGTATGATAACAGCAAACCGTCTTAACATTTTTAGCCGTTGTATAAGTAGTATCTTGCTTAATTAAGCAATACCGTTCTTAACTAGCCAAAAATACAATTTTTTACTATCAGTAGTACTCAAATATACTATAATACTACTTTTAACTCTAATAATAACCAAACATTACTACGAATTTATGAATAAGTAGACTAAATCCATTTAGAAACCGTTCGTTAAATTAGGAATTATAGTACTTGAAAAGTAATTAATTGCGGATTTGATTTGCTTTCAAAATCCAAATCCTCAACCATTTCGAGTGGCCATTTTACGTTTTTTCTCGCTTTATGGACATAACAAAAACAATTATTAAAAAAAAAAAAAAAAATTCCGCATTACGCTCTTACTTATGTTATGTTGGGCTACTGAAGAAAATTTTATTTTTAGCTAAATTTTTGTAATTTCATTTTAGTGCTTCTACCGTATTTTACAAATGTGAAAAAGATTGGGCTTGGTAGAATGGGCAAGGTTAAGGTAGAATAAGGTTAGACAGGGAAGGCTTGAGTAAGGGTAAAAAACAGACCGGTTCTACTTTTTAGGCTCGGCCCAGGCCAGAAACCCAACGTTTGGACTCAGCCCGTTCTCATTTGCTTTTCATGTCTGTCCAACCAGTTCAAAAAACTCTAGACTTAACCTTTGTAGGGTAGGGTAGAAAAAGTTTTGTTAGTAATAGAGTAGGATGAGGCATAGGAAGGGTGAGTAGGATGAGTAGTAATAATGGGGTAGGGTAGGGTAGGGTAGGGTAGGGTAGGGTAGGGTAGGGTAGGGTAAGATATTTTTTAAAAACTTACAATTATTACAAAAGCTGTTACTCAAATTATTGGTGTTACAGATGAAATTACTGTATGAAAACAGTAAATTAACATAGTCAACACGGCTTCGTAGATGTTATTTTTTTTCTGAAAAATAGCATAATCAGCATTTTCAAACCATATTGCAGAAGCAAACAGGATCAAATCACAAAATTAAAAAACATTAAAATTGTTACCTAAAAATAAAATTTCAAAATTTCAAATTCTAAAAATAAACCCCCAAACTTGAAAATAAGTAAAAACAGTTAAACAATCACGCGCGATACCTTACAGTACAATGAATTGTTGTTTAAACAAACAAATGTCACAAAAATAGTGACGGCAAGTTTTTGGTGGACAGAATTAATTGAATTGAAGAAAGTGACGCTGCCACCTAATTATAAGGTCAGTTTTTATTCGAATATCTGTCAAAATTTAATAGAGTTGGGGTAAAGAGAAAAAGGAAAGATGACAAACAACCTCATTATGCTACTGTATGTACCTTAAAAAAAAGATTTTGTATTGTTTGAAAATTTTAAAGTAAAAAATGCAATTTTTAAAGTTGATAAAAGCTTGGATTGCAATATTAGAAAACGTTTACTGTATTGTGAATAAAAGCTAAAAGAGTAAAAGAAAACCAAATATGGTTTACCAAAAAAATTTCTGGAATGACAAGGCCTGGCCTAACAATGTAAATCTATAGAAAAGCCTTTGAAATACCGTAACGCGAATAAAAACCAAGACGGTGCAGAAAGGTTTTGAAAGGTTTAAGCAGAATAAAGTCTTACAATGAAAGTAGGAAGCATTAGAAACATAGATGATAACAAAGTTCCTAAAAGCTCGCAAGCCGGAGCTAGAACCAAGGCCAAAAAATGTTGAATTTCCGTATACCCAAATAGATAAGCTGAAATTTAAAAAAGTTGAGAGCCAAAGCCAAACCAGAAATTTTAAATTTGAGTATTTTTTACAACAGATTAAACAGCAATAGATAAAAAAGTAATTATACAAAAAAAGTAAGTAACCTCATTAATAAATTTAATCTCTTTTTATAATATATTAGTAAATTCGCATGGTCCAGAATTTCTAACAAGACCACAGTACCACAAAAAAGTACAGTCATGTAACTTAACCGTATATACCAAATAAAATAATGAATTACCATCTATGAAAATTTCGGTAAATAATTTGTTTGTGAAAGTGCTGTTTAAAATATTAAAATTAGTCTTGTATAAGGACAATTCGATTCAAAACGTATTTTTAACCGCCCTTTATAGTACAGCAACATCCCCGCTCGTATTTTACCATAACTTTATTATAGATAGTAGTAAGCCCACAAACTGTTAATTTTAGTCTAAAAAGATAGTTATTTATAATATACGAGGTAATTTATCTTGTGCATAATATGTTATTTGAGCTCAAAAGGCCGTGCAAACGTTTCCGAGAACAAATTCCCTAAACTTTTCGACTTGGATCAAAGAACAGTCTAAAAGGCATTTCATTTCATTAATTTTAAACTTTGAAAACAGTATTATCCTATCCTAACATATCATATCCTATCTTGTCCTACACTACCTTACCCTATCCTACGCTACTTACTATGCCTTACCATAGCATAGTATACCATTGTGCTGCCCGACCATAGAATGATACTTTATGATTTCTTCCTTTCCCCTTGAAAGCCTACCTCTCTCCCCCTTCCCCTTCTAGCCCAAGCTTTACTACACGCTTTGTCAGCTACAGTACCTTGCATACATATTGTCTCATAAAAGCCTTCCTTAATAAACTATGATATCAACTAAAACCTGCCTTTCTTAAACATCTTGTTTAAATAACAAAATTAGCCGTGCGCAATTACTTTCCTTCCACTAAAATTGAATTTTTTGTTTCGAAGAGATAAGGAAGTAATAACAAAGCATGATACTATACGAATCGCCCACAAAGTGCATAACCATGAATAAATATGTCAAAAAAACAGTGAAGTTACAGTAGAATTCTTTAAAAATAACTTTTTATTTTTTTTTAGTCTGACTACTTTCAAAGACGGTCGAAATAAAATGGCAATTGATAAAACTTGATAAGAAACATACTAAAAGCGTTTTAAATAGTAAAGCGTTGTGCATACTATGAAACCGACATTACTATTGAAAAGTGTTAACATTAAAAACATTGCTACAGTAGGTTTGTTTATATACCAAGTTTTACACTACTTTAACATATTGTTTTTGCAAGTTGAAAATTTTTAAAAAATTGTTACTTTTTTAGTCAAAAACAACATAAAAACCGGCTAAAAGAGCGATAATACACTCTTCGAATATCCGAAACGAGCAGATAAAGCGACACCAGGAAAACACAATCAATCATTTTGACTGGGAAACTTTTGTAAAGCTGTAGACATTCACAACAGTCTACTATGGAACAATACTGAAGTAGTAAAGAAGTACGAGTTATGTAAAATTCAAAAGAAGGTTAATGCACGTACTCAAATTCCAAACATCAGAATATTGTAGTACAAGTCAAATAGTACAAAATTTCAAGATATCATGTTTTTTTATTTTAAATTGAAGTTCAAGTTCATCAACATCATTATCATTCACAACAATTGCTTTTCCAATACCTAAAAATTCAACTTATCTATTTGTATATTGCTCATCACACGCTGCTATAGTTATAGTGCACAGGACTATGCATTATCATGTCTCGTTATAAGTATCACTATTTAAAAAGTAGTACTAAAAACATCTTTGTTATTCAAAATTAGCTCCAAAAATGCCTTTGAGACTTGTTTTTGGCATTTGCACTCTTTTAGGAATGACGCACTACTGTAGCGACGTCAAAAACTTATTTTTTGTTATTTGTGAGTTCAACATTAGCTTTTGTGAAGAACGGAATGTGCTCATCATAAGAGAACAGAACGTTCATTGAGTTTGCAATTATTTTTCTGCCCTTAACTTTAATGAAGCGACATTTACATCATACTCCTAGGTGAAAAATTTACAGTACAGTAAAGTGATTACTTTTAAATATGCAAAATTAAAAATTTCTAAAAAATTAAAAGTTAAAAAATTTAAGTTCTTGCCCTGCCTTTGCCTTGCCTTGCCTTTGCCCTGCCTTTGCCCTGCCTTTGCCCTGCCTTTGCCCTGCTTTTGCCCTGCCTTTTGCTTTGCTTTTGCTTTTGCCTTACCCTTTATCCTCAAAAAATATTATGCTACATAGACCAGTACCATATCTCCCATTACCATTCCTTATCATTATTATGCTCTATCACTAACAAATTTTAAAATCACATTAGGCATATAACATTGCCCAGCGTAACCTAATACGGTACCTCTAAATCATACAAAATCCTATTTTTACCCCAACCCACAAATTACACTTACCCTCAATATAGCCCCAACAATTTAACAAATTGTGTCAAAAGTCACAACTCGGAGTCCGAACAAGCTGTTTTCATTACTTTGACGTCAGGCCCAAGGCTATTCCCATAAAAAAGCGGAAACAAAAGTGGCCGTTCGGTGGGAGAAAGGCCGAAAAAAGGATGCGCTTCGTATAGCCTCAAGAAATCGACTCCAATTGAACAGATTAGAACAAATTTGGCTTCTATTTTGCTCAGCCATCGGTTTCCTCTAACATATCACATTACCACCACCAAAAACTAACTATTTTGCCGTGCAGCAACGACCGGTCCTGTTTTTGGATGACTAATAGGAGGGGAATTACGGATTGGCAAGTGATGAGTCAATTATAAGTAGCAGTAGATAAAATTTTAAAAACTATAAAGTTTGTGCAAAGAACAATACAAAAACAAGTAAAAAATTTAAAAAAAGAATGGAAGAGGGGTACATAATAAATAAAACAATAAAGGTTAAACTGTTTTACCCTATTATACCCTCCTATACAAAAAAAGTTTATCTTTACCTACCATACTCATTAATTTTTTTGCCTTTTTGTCATAACTTGTTTTAGCTTTCTTCCCGTCACCCCTGCTTGATCATTGACCTTATGTCTTTATGGTCACTCTTGCTTTAGAGCCTTCAAAACTATAGAAGTGATACTATAATACTAACAATAATAATCCCCACAAAA